GGGGGGGGGGCAGTGTTTTTGGGGAGGTTTTTTTAAAAAAGCCCGGCCCTGGGCCCCTTTAGGGGGGGGGGGGGGGGGCCACAAATCCTTCCAAAGGTTTTGGGGCCCGCGGATTGGGAAAAATTTCATTTGGGGGAAAGGGGGTTAGAAGGGGGGGGGACCCGGGAGGGGGTTCCCCCCTTTTTTTTTTCCCCTGGGGGGCCTTTTTCCCCCTTTCTTTCCCCACCACCCCTCAAAACCCTTCTTTCCCCCCCCCGAAGGGCCCTGGGGGGGGGTGGAACCTTCCCCAACCCCCCCATTTGGGGGGGGGGGGAAAAAAGGCCCCCCCCCCCCTTGGGGTTTTGGGGGGGGGCCCGAAAAAAAAAAGGAGTGCCCCCCCCCCCCCCCCCCCCCCCCCCGCTGAGATAAGAGGGGCCGGCGGGGACGGAGGAGGAGAGGTCGTGACTGTAGGACGACCGGCAAGACATCGTCGACCAGGTCCGGGCAAAGTATGCGGCGCGCGGCCGCCCGACCGGACACCGCCCGCCTTCGACACCGCCCCCTCACTCTCGGCGCTTGTTGGGCCTCCGCAGGTGCCCGACGTCATCCGCGAAGCCGCGCTGCAGGGCGAGGCGGAGGAAGCGGCCGCCGCCGCCGCGCCGGTTGCCTTCCACAAGCGAAAGAGCAAGGGCAGCTTCCGCAAGAAGGGCTGAGGCGGGGGCGATGCGAGGGTCAGAAGAGGGCACACACGGTGGTCACAGGCTTGGATCGATGGCGGCGGCCGGCTCTGCTGTTGTTCTTGCTGAGCTGACGCGGTCGCATGTACCGACTCTCTGCACTCTGGAGTTGTGCACGCAGCATGGCTCCTTGATGACTGTGTATACACGTCAGTAGAAAGACGCGGACGATATGTCACACTGTCCTCGGCAGCAAAAGTGTGACGTGAGACGTGTGAAGATATAGAGTACCCCCCCCCATCATTTACATTTTACACGAAAAACGAGAGTCGCCCGTCCCGCGCCGGCGGCGGCCGCGCCCCGGGCCGAGGTGCACCGTGTTGCGCGCGTGTGCAGCGCGCTGCACAGGTGAATACATGAACACATGACGAGGCAAGCACGACTGACCGCGCGGACGCCGATACTGAACAGGGCCGTAGCATCAACCCTCCTGGCGGGTGGGCGGGCGGGAGGGGGGGGGGTCCTACTTGTCCTTACACTTCTTCTTCTTCCACTTGCAGTAGCTCGCGTCCTCGCACTCCTCCTTGTCCTCAAACGTGGAGCATTCGGGCTCCTCCTCGTCGTCATCGTCATCGTCCTGATTGCCGTCCTTACACTGCTGCTTCTTCTTCTTCCACTTGCAGTAGTCTGCATCCTCGCACTCCTCCCTGTCCTCTAACGTGGAGCATTCGGGCTCCTCCTCGTCGTCATCGTCATCGTCCTGATTGCCGTCCTTACACTGCTGCTTCTTCTTCTTCCACTTGCAGTAGTCTGCATCCTCGCACTCCTCCCTGTCCTCTAACGTGGAGCATTCGGGCTCCTCCTCCTCCTCCCCGTCCTCCTCATCATCGTCATCGCCGCCGCCGCCGCCGCCTCCTCCTCCGCCCTCGTCGTCGTCCTTGGCGGCAAAGCTGCGCACCGTCCAGCACATGCCGCCGTTCGTGACCGGGTCGGGCTTGAGAGGATGGGCGTCGCACGTGGGGTTGAAATCAACGCTGTGCTCCTCGTTCGCGTCGCGGCAAGTAGACACCTCGTCCCCGCTGACGGGCTTGCGGTAGTCACAGCGGTTGACGACACCGTGCATCGGCTCACCCCACCTACAAGGCGGGCGCAACTTAGAGACGCGGGAGGGTTGCGGAGGCGGTGCGGTGAAGTGCGTCGCTGACCCGCAGCAGCAGTTCAGCGTGCCTGTATAGCCTCGGAAGTGGTGATCGCGCACCCACCAGCCGTAAGTGCTGTCGTCGTCCGAGCCATGACAGTGGCCGTCCGTGTCGAGCTCGTCCGCGTTTGGCGTGGCACAGTTCGCAAAGTTGCAGTCGCCATAGCTGCAGTCCCCCCAACCGGGCTGCGGCATGATGCGACAGAACCAGCCCTGCCCGCCGCAGTCGATCGGTCCATCAAGATAGGCGGCCTTGATACCCTTGACAGCGCACGCTCCGGCAAGGGCGCCAGGGCAGGCGCCGTCTGCCGGCAGGATGGGCTCGGCGGGCGTGTTGTCGTGGTAGCGGACGTTTGCGCCAAAGTTATCCAGGTCGTCTGCCCATGGTGGTCCAGCGTCGTCTGCGCACTGCTGCGATGGGCCCTCCGGGCTTTGGCACCACCCGTCGCTGTTGCATCCGGAGGCGGTCGCGGGGGAGGGTGGCGGCAAGGAGGATGCCGGCGGTGGCGGCGCTGGGGGTGGCTTCGTCGGCACTGGCACACAGCACCTGGAGCAGAGCTGGGAGCAGGAGGGCAGCATGCACGCGGAGGGCTGGCAGATGAAGTCGCACACCTCCGATGGACACGTGAGGGCTGGCGGCCCGACGCCGGCGAGCGGCAGCAGCGCTGACATGTCGCCGTGCCGGTCACAGTAGTAGCGGAGAGAGCCGTTGTACGAGGGCGGCACAGTGAAGGTGACGGTCCCGCTGCTGCCGACGAGCGGGAACGCTCCCTCCTACGGGGGAGGTTGGGAGTCTTGGGAGTCTGCGTGTGCGTCCGGCGAGGAGTCGCAGCGGCTCCCCTGGCACCTGCAGAAAGGGCGTTGGGAGCGGCTCCGGGACGATGCCCCACGCCACTGCGATGACAAAGGGGTGGTTGGCGGCAATGCCCGCCGCTTCGAAGGTGTACGTCATGCCCGGCTCGAGGGGCTCGAGCGCGGGCGAAAAGTCGTAGTACGGGGAGATGAAGCTCCCTCCCGAGATGACATATGTCTTGGAGCCGGGCGAGGGCGAGGGCGACGGAGATGGCGACCCCTCCCCAGGCAAAATGTTGGGGTAGGGTGGCGGCATCTCGGCCGCCGTGAGCGGCAGTGCCATATAGTCACCAAAGAACTCGACCGACCAGCACTCTTCGCCACCGCTGTAGAGCGGATCCTGCTTCTCCTCCCCCTCGCACCACCCCAGATCGATCTCCTGTTCGGGCCGCCCGTCGGTGCCCGCGTCCATCCGGTTGACCACACCGGTCGCGGAGAACGGGTTGCAACAGCAGTGCAGGGTGCCCGAGTAGGCACGGAACCTATCATAGGCACGGACGGCCACTGTCATGGCTCGGACGACGACAGCACTTACGGCTGGTGGGTGCGCGATCACCAGTGGTCCTGGAGCCACCCGCTCCCCAGGCCAGATTCGGCGGTGTAGGTGGCGTCGCGGCGGAAGCCGTGGGCGTGGCCTATCTCGCCCTCCGGCAGGAGATTGCCCTGCGCAGCGAGGAGGGGGTCGAACGTCAAGCACCCGTCAATCCACGCGGCTGGCACAGAGAGCTCAGGTATCATGTGTGGCACTACGTAGCTAAGGGGCACGAACTCCGCACCGTCGTCCCGTTGCAGTAGAAGAAGTTAGGGTCGCTAAACTCGCCGCAGGCGCTCCCGAAATCGCCGCATGGCGTTGGGAAGTTGTCCTTCGGCATGGGAGGAGGAGTGGGAGCGGTGAGGAGCAGAGGGAGTGGCCGGGAGGCGTGCAAGGCGGGTAGCGGCCTTCGGCATGATGCGGCACCACGCGCCCTGGCCGCCGCAAGCGATGGGCCCCTCAAGGTGAGCCGCCTTGACGCCTGAGGCAGAAGCAACTCACTACCATGTGACTTTCGCAGTTCTACGCCTTTAAGCTAGGCCGCCAGTTCGCGCACCCTTCGAGGCACACGCCGCCTTGAGCGGCGCCGGGCAGTCGTCTGTGCTGGTGATGTCTCTGCCGTCTGAGTGCATCGGCCGAGCAGGTGATTGTTCAAACGCGTCAGCGAAGGACTTCCCTTCCCAATGAACGGGCCAGTCGTAGTCACGCCCGCCGTAGGCAAGACGGCGTCGGGCACCTTGCACGGAGATGGCCGCGATGGCTGGGATGGCGATTGCGATGATCGTCGACGCTAAGCGTGGCATATTAGCAAGGTGCAAATCCGTTCGTTTCAGCCGACAGACCGGCCGAATTGCGAGCACCTGAACATGTCGGGTCGGGTCCGTAAAATTGGGCTGTCCTGGAACACAACATCCAGAAAACAACCCTCGAGCCGTGACTGCGACTCCCTTTCCCACCGCCTCCTACCGGATGGTCATGTTTGTATAAGCAACTTAACTTCAACGAAAAATAGCATCCAATATATCTGAGGAGAGATGTCCTGGAGCGGCCTGTAAAGAAAGAAAGAGAGAAAACAGACAACCCAAGGGAGGGATGGGAGCGGCCTGTACGTGGTCGACGTGCGTGCCGTTCTTTCTTTCTCCCCGTCAGCCCCCGCCACCCACATAACGCATAATTGCTAATCGACCAATGACGAATGAGCACGATTTTTTCGTGAAATACTTAATTGAACTTGTTTGGCTATCAAAATCGTAAGCATCGTGAAGAGTCCAGATCCACGTTGTAGTTTTGGGACAAAAAAGCTCCGTGATCCACCCTTCCCACCGCAAACTCCAACCAACAAATAATACCAACACACATATTGCAAACGGCCCTCTGGGCCCGCTGGGCGCGCCGCCAGGGCTTCCATTCGGTGTGGCCCACAGCGCAGACGCAAGCCATTCGACACCACCCACCCCTCCCCATCCGCCGGGCTTCCGGGCAGTGCAGGCCCGGCCACGACGCCGCACCAGGAGCGCGTCTAGTACTCCTCTCCCTCCTCCTCGCCCTCGCCCTCAGCCGACTCTGCACCGACCTCCTCGTAGTCCTTCTCCAGTGCGGCCATGTCCTCGCGCGCCTCGGAGAACTCGCCCTCCTCCATGCCCTCGCCGACGTACCAGTGCACAAAGGCGCGCTTGGCGTACATGAGGTCGAACTTGTGGTCGATGCGCGAGTAGAGCTCGGCGATGCACGTCGAGTTGGACATCATCGTGACGGCGCGCATCACCTTGGCGAGGTCGCCGCCCGGCACGACCGTGGGCGGCTGGTAGTTGACTGCGCGGGGAGGGAGGGGGGGAGGCGGCACGTGAGAGCGGCTCCGGCTAGGGAGGCGAGGGATAAACGGCTCGGCGGGGAGGGGGATGCGCGCGCTGGGTTGGAGGCGGGGAGCGGCAACTCACTGCCGCACTTGAAGCCAGTCGGGCACCAGTCGACGAACTGGACCGTGCGCTTCGTCTTTATGGTCGCCACGGCGGAGTTGACGTCCTTGGGCACCACGTCGCCGCGGTACATGAGGCAGCACGCCATGTACTTGCCGTGGCGCGGGTCGACCTTGACGAGCATCGAGGCGGGCTCGAAGACGGCATTGGTGATCTCGGAGACGGAGAGCTGCTCGTGGTACGCCTTCTCGGCCGAGATGATGGGCGCGAAGGAGGCGATGGCCAGGTGGATGCGCGGGTAAGGCACCAGGTTCGTCTGGAACTCGGTCAGGTCGACGTTGAGCGCGCCGTCGAAGCGGAGCGAGGCGGTCATGGACGAGATGATCTGGGCGGTGAGGCGGTTAAGGTTGGTGTACGTCGGGCGCTCGACGTCGAGGTTGCGGCGGCAGATGTCGTACAGCGCCTCGTTGTCGACCATGAATGTGACGTCCGTGTGCTCGAGCAGCGTGTGCGTCGAGAGGACGCAGTTGTACGGCTCGACGACGGCGGTCGAGACCTGCGGCGCCGGGTAGATGGTGAAGGAGACCTTGGACTTGCGGCCGTAGTCGACCGAGAGCCGCTCGAGGAGGAGGGCGCCCAGGCCGGAGCCGGTGCCGCCGCCCATGGCGTTGAAGGCGAAGAAGCCCTGCAGGCCGGTGCAGTTGTCGGCGAGCTTGCGGATGCGGTCGAGGACCAGGTCGACGATCTCTTTGCCGACGGTGTCTGCGCGGCCGGAAGGGGGCGGTGAGGAAGTGGAAAGTCAATGATGCGCGCGCGCGAGGGCGGTTAGGGGGCAGGGCGTCGCGGGGGCGGGGCGGGCGCGTAGGGGGAGGGGGTCGGCGTCCACACGAGTGACGAGAGGGTCCATCCAAGCACCAAGGGGTTTGGTATAGGTAGGGAGGAACAGAAGGGGTTGATGCAGGCCTGGCGAGGTAGGTACTCCCACGCCTCTCGGGGTTTTTTGTCTGGCCGAGTCAACCCTGCGAGCCGTCTTATTACCAGGTTGCAAAACCTTAGTCTCGCACTGGTGCTGTGAACGCCGCTGGTTGGCGTCGGTTGCGCAGCACCCCGTCCTCATCCAGGTTGTTGGTTGCTGCCCCAGGTCCCGCACTATGTAGTGCAATGCCCCGTTCCCTGGTCATGCTTGTTCGGGTACGTGTTTCGCCCGTCCCTGCCTGTGTCCGTCCACGTCGCCCGTCGGCAAAGCCGACGACCTATGGTGCAATACACGCCGCTGGTTGGGGAGGACGCGCCGCTCGATGCTGCGACGGCGCTGGCGATGCGGCTTCCTGCACGCGGTCCCGGCGGGCAGGCGTGGCCCACAGCTCTTCGGCTCGCTCCGCTCGCCGGCGAGTTGGTTGGTTGCTGGCAGCACCCCAGCACCGGGGGGTCCTGAGAGCTGCTGGTTGCCGCTCTGTTCACAGCACAGTGCGAGACTGCTCATGAGCTGTTCCCACACAGCAGGCTAGAAGTACCTCGCCCGATGCAGGCCGCTGCCGTTCTTCGATGTCCCACACCTTTAGCGCTCCCGCGCCACTCGAGCTGGCTTCCCTCCCGGTGGAGCTCCTCTTCAAGGTGCTCCTCAGCCTGCGGGCGGACGGCCTGGCGCGCGCTTCACGAGTCTGCCGCGCGTGGCAGGGCTTGGTGGTAACAGCGGCTCGCGAACGGCTCCTAGCGCTCAGAGGTCCTGCTGCGGCCGGCACTACTCCGCACGGGCCGAGCCTGCTTTGCTCTCTCTCAGCCGCCGAGGATCTGACGCGCCGTATCGGAAGGCGGGCCGACGGCAACGGCAAGCAGCCCTGGCGCGGCCAGACCTGGCGCGATGAGTGGGTGAAGATACGGCGGGAGGAGCTTGTGCTGCAGGGCAACGAGCTCGAGGACATTGTCGTGGAGACACCAGAGACCACCCTCCCTCGTTTTCGCCAGGAGGTCGAGTGGCTGGTTCAGTCTGGTTGGGAGGGTTGCGACGCCAAAGCCTACACCCTCCTCGTCTACATGGGCCGCGGCGCGCTCGGCGCGGCTCTGCGAGTGGGCTCGCGTAGGTACGCCGCAAGCACGCACGCGCTGACCGGCCTGCTGCTTTCCCGTGCGGGCCAAGGTGAGCTGCCCCCCACCTGCTTTTGTAACCTGAGCGGCCGCTGGGGCCTTTCCGAGGAGGACCCGGCGTGGGGCGCCCTCTCCGCCGCTGGGGCGGCGCCGGGCGCAAGCTTCATTGCCACCACCGTCTCCGGCGGCCTCGTCGCAAACGACCACACCTTTGCTGATGGGCGCGGCCTTCGGATCCCGATCTTTTGCGCGCACGGCGTTGAGTACCAGCTGCAGGACGCGGCGGTGGTGGCGTTCGTGAGCCGCCCGCCCAGCCGCGAGGGCTGGCACGCGCTTGTGCAGACGACACCGACGGGCTTTAGTCTCCCGCCCCTCGCGCGCGTAACGCTCGTGAGCGTGTCAGAGGCGGGAGAGTGGGCCGCCAACGGGCACCGTGTTTGCCAGCGCTGCTACACGGTGAGCGTCAGCTATGCGTGAATCTCGAGCAGCGCACGTAGCGCCCTAGCTCTGCGCCAAAGTGCACACGGCGGCGAATAGGTGAGCACAAGAAAAAAGGGTTTATAGAAATGAAGTGTGCCAAAACCGCAGGCCCGTGGCTTGACGACGGTGTTCAGGCGGGCCCTCTGCCTCTCAGTCTCTCCTCCCTCTCCTCAGGCTCTCACGTCTCAGCGCTTCTATCTCTCTAGCTCCCCTCAGCCCTCAGCCCCTCACCCCTGCGCCCCTCTACAAACAGCTTCGAAAGTGTCTCCTCCCAGTGATCCGCCACCATGTAGTCGCCAAGGTACCCAAACAGATTCACCTGGCCCGGGGTGTACGCGTCGATCTTGCACCCGTCGCACGCGCTGAGATTTTGCCCCGCAATCTTGAGATGCGGGAAAGTGTTGTAGCGGTCATTGCTCAGGATCTCCTTGCCAACCTGTGCCGCCCACGAGCCTTCCCCCCACGCGCGGGTGGTGAGAGTGGCGCGACTGGGATGGCTTGGGTGGGACGGGGCGGTGGCCGGCGTGCCTTCGACGTATTCGGTGGCGTCGTCCCACTCCAGGTATGATCCGGTGGCGTCGCCATGGTACGACCCGTTCGCTCCAGGCAGTGAGTAGTAGAAGACAGTCAGCGACACCTTGTTGACGGTGCCATCGGGAAGCGAGGAGGTGGTGCCGTAGAAGGGGTTGTCGATGACTTGCACCGCATCAATGGTCGCCACGAGCGGCCGGCCCTCCTCGTAGAGCTGCGTGAACCGCTCGAGGAGCTCCACCAGCCTACATGGAGTGCAGTGGCACACATTTCAGGACTGTAAGAGCGAGGTCAAGACGCGCCGAAGCTTGGCGCCGTAGAGATTCAAAGATCTGGTTTGCGGAGTAGCTTCCGATCCCAAAGGCCGCGTCGTGGAAGGCGCCTACACCCGAGGTACCGTACTCACACCGCTCGACTCATTACACAGCCTCCTCGAGGAGGCGGCACCCGTCTGGAGGTCCGTGTCGTAGACGCCAAAGAGGGCCGACAGAAAGGGGTCCAACGCCGTCTTGTGAAAGCCGTCAATCCGCAACGCGCGGACGTAGTCACCCAAGCTCTCGTGCACAGCCTGCCGCTGCTCGGCGTGAGCTGCCGATATCTCTAATGAAGGGCGTCCACTCTTCTCCTCGCTGCTCGACAAGGCCTTGATGTTTGCCTTGGCCTTGTCCAGGACGAATCCGGGCGGTGGCCGAAAGGGATGCTGCGCAGTGATCATGCAAATCACTTTGGTCGCGCCGCTGGCGACGGCGGCGCACACCCCCGTGCTGTCCTATTCTCACGACCCTCTCTCTGACATCTAGCGTCGCTCTGTCGCCCTTCCGATGCACGCGCGCCATGATGCCCCCGTCACCTAGGTCACAGATGGCCTCGGTGCGCACGTCGCCGTCAGCAGTGTCGACCGAGCTAGTAGTGCGCATCTTCACCCTGCCGGTGAGCAAGCCGAGGACGCTGTTGACGGCGCTGTTGATGCAGTCTCCTAGGCATGAACCGGCGCATGGGATGGCGTCGGTAAGCGGCTGCAGCGGGTTCTGGCCCTGCTGGAGGAAATTGGAGCTGAAGCCCGCCAACGCCTCGAGGGTGAGCCGATCCTACAACGACACACGCCAACCGCAGTCCTTTCGAGCGGAGGTAGCGCGGCCCGCGTGGGGGCGTGTGTCCGTCGAAGGCGGAGCGAGGCAGCAGCGCTCGAGCGAGAAGAGCGGCCGGCGGTAAGGCACAACAAAGTCGGTCGGCTTCGCAGACGGCGAGTCGACCCTCAGCGGCGGTGGAGGTTTGCATCCATACATAAAAGCCTGGCAGTGTGGGTAGCTCATCTTGCCGGGACCCATCTTGGTGGCTGGGTCAACGGCTTTGTAGCCACTCCGGGTGAGAGACGTGCTCGACCACCAGGGCACCAATGACACGCCGTTGTGCTTCTCACGCGCCGAGATTGTGGTCGGTAGCCCGCCTTTGGCGCCCTCGCCCTGCATCTCCTGCAGTTGTTTTTGGCCGTTGCGGTAGCTCAGGTCACTCGGACTGAGCATCACAAAGACGCCGACCGGATCGGGGCCGCTTGCGGTGCCTTCCGGGTTCGCCATCGACCGTGCGCCCTGGCGTGGGTAGATGAAGTCGCCCTGCGCAAAGCGGTCTGGGTGCTGGGCGACCAGCGCCTCCGCGTCCGCCTGGCTCGGTGCAAAGAACTTTCCGCCCGGGACGCCGTATCTATACACAGGCTCACCTCGAGTCGGTGCAGACAGTGGCGGTCGGGGGCAACCAGCGCGGCGCAGAGCTCACCGCGAGAGGAAGGAGCGCTGGATGGACTGCACCCAGAGCTTGTGGCAGGAGATGGAGCCGAGACCGAGGCGCGAAAGCCCCTGCCCAAAGCAATACAGCGGGAGGCAAAAGATCTCGCGCACGCCAAAGTTGTAGACGGCCGAGTATCCGAGGGTCTCCTTTGGGATGCTGTCGAGCTGCTCCTCCGCCTTCCATACCGCCGGCGTATCCGACCGAGCCGTGTCGAGGAGTGCGGCGGAAGCCTCCTCCTCCGAGTCGGCGTCGGCGCTGCCGTAGAGGTAGATTGCGGTGGCCCAGAAGCCGCCGCTCACGCCCACGATGGAGTCGCATTGGTTGAGCGCTCCCTTTTTGGAAAGCCCACGAAGCAGCCCGTACGCTCCGCTCAGCGCCAGGTTGCCTCCACCGTTGAGGCAGAGGGTCACCCCCGCAGAGCTCTCGCGTGCCGCCTCGCCCGCCGCCCCGCCCGTCGCGGCGGGCAACCCGCGGCCTCGCACCGCGCCCACCCTCTCCTTGGCGAGCTTCCTCCGCCGCCCCTCGACGTAGGAAGTGGAGGGCCGATTGCAGACCGGCGTGGCTAGCATCGCGGTCGTGTGTGTGCTTGTTACGTGAAAACCCGCTGGGACCCGGACGCCAGCACACACGGCTAGATGGTCGTGTGCACAAAACGGCGCCGCTACTTTTGATCGTACTCGCGAACGCTTGTAATAATTGTGCCGCGTCCCGTGCCCCCGAGTTCATTTTATATAATAATTGTTTCATATGTCTCTGCTTTGCCAACCAATCCCCCCTCCTCCCCCGGGGGACGTACGCCTGGAAACTCGATGAAACGGCCGCGTCGCGCGTTGCCGAGCTCTGCAAACATGGCGGTGGTACTCGCGCTCACTAGAGAGAACGTACGCTCGGTCGACGCGCTCGATGCGCTCGCACGCGAAGAGTGCAGCCGCTCCGACGCAGTTGCACGCGTCGACGCAGAGCTTGCGGCTTGCGGCAGCCGAGCTCCCGGTACGGCTCACGCCCTGCCGCCGGACGTCGGCTTTGGGCAGGCGAGCGCAGCACGGTGGGAGCAAGTGCACGCGCTCGAGAGGCAGTATTCGCGGCTCGCCGCCCTGCCTGCGGCAGAGGCCGCTGCCTTCCTCGTCGGTCGGCCCGAGGCCTCGGCGGCGACGCTACAGCGTGCGTCGCGGTCGTCCCACTCTCGTCGTTCTCCCTCCTGTCGCGTCTTCCTCTGTCGCGTCGCTCTCCTCTGCCTCGTCCTGCGACGCCGCCGCCGCCTGCCGATCCTTGCTCTCACGGCTTCAGCCCGCCTTTCGGCGCAACTCTGCCCTCCTCGCGGACACACACACACACGCGGAAACAAACCTACCAAAAAAAAGAAGTGCGGCAGCAGCAGCGTGCGCGGACTCTCCGCGCGCCACCGCCGCCGCCACCGCTGCCCGACGAAAATGCGCGCCCTTCGCGTGCTGTCCGTGCTGCACGGCGCGGCGATCACCAGCGCGGCGCTCACGCGACTTGCTGCCGTACGCGGCAGCGCATCAGCGCGCATGCTGGCCACGGCGACTCGCACCGCCGCCGACGTGGAGATGCTGCGGTTTGCAGACCTCGAGATCTCGTCGTCGCTGCGAGGCAACATCGCGGCACTCGGCCACGAGTTCGCGACACCTGTGCAGAGCGCTTCGATGCCGCCGCTGCTGGCTGGGGAAGATGTTGTCGCCAAGGCCCGCACCGGGACGGGAAAGACACTTGCCTTTCTCGTCCCGACGCTCCACCGACTGAGCACGTCCGAGCGACCTCAGGGCCAGATTCGGGCACTGGTGCTGAGCCCGACGCGAGAGCTCGCGGCTCAGATCGCCGAGGCCGCCGCCAGCCTGGTGCCGGGTAGCGGGCTCAAGGCTGTGTGCATATTCGGCGGCACGCCCATGAAGCGAGACCTCAACCGGCTCGGTGGTGAGGTCGATTTGCTCGTGGCCACACCGGGTCGGCTCAAGGACCACATGGAGAACGAGGGACTCGCGACGCGGCTGCGCGGGCTGCAGACGCTGATCCTCGACGAAGGCGACCGGCTGCTCGATCAGGGCTTTGCGAGGGAGATTGGACAGATCGTGGCCAAGCTGCCGAGCGAGCGTCAGTCGCTCTGCTTCTCGGCGACGATGCCTGCGGAGCTCTCGGCCGTCCTCGGCCAGACTCTCAAACGCGGGCACAGGGTCATCGACTGCGTGGGCGCGGCGGCCGACTCGGAGACGGCGTCCAAGGTGGCGCAGAGCTACCTCGCCGCCGAGATGAACGCCGTGCCTGCCCTCGCCGCCCTCGCCGCACGCCGCGCCCTCGCGGACGCCGCGGGCAGCGGCAAGATCGTCGTCTTCTGCCCCACCGCCAACCAGGTGCAGTTCGTCTCGAGGCGTTTCGCGGCGATGCGCTTTGAACAGCGTCTCTTCACAGCGGGCCCTGTGAGCAGGCGCAGTTCGTCTCAGAGCTCTTCACAGCGATGGGCGTGAGCAACGCGCCGCTGCACTCGCGCAAGTCGCAGGCGTACCGCACGCGCGTCTCCAACGAGTTCCGAGACTGCCGCGAGGGCGTGCTCGTCGCGAGCGACGTGGCCGCGCGGGGCGTCGACTACCCCGACGTGACCCTCGTGCTGCAGCTCGGCGCGCCCGACAGCCGGGAGCAGTACGTGCACCGCACGGGGCGGACGGGGCGCGCAGGCAAGTCGGGCCAGGCGCTGCTGTTGTTGTCGGAGTGGGAGGAGCGCGCGACGATGGGCATGCTGGCAGGGCTGCCCATAACCGAAGCGAGCCCGTCGGCAGCGGCCGTCGGCGCGGCGCGCGACGAGGCGTGCGGTGCGGTCGAGGCGGTCGACGTGGGGACGCGCGAGAAGGCGTACCAGGCGTGGCTCGGTTACTACAAGCAGAAGATGAAGGCGATGCGGTGGGACGCGCGCACCCTCGTCGCCACCGCCAACGCGTTTGCCCTCGGCGCTCTCGGCTTGCCCGAGGTGCCCACGCTCCAAGCCAAGACGGTCGGCATGATGGGCCTGCGCGGCACACCGGGTCTAGTCGTCGCAAAAGGCCCCAGCGGGCGCGGTGGCGGCGGCGGCGGCGGCAACCGCGGTGGCGCCATGGGCGGCGGCAGAGGCGGCGGCAGAGGTGGCGGCGGCGGCCGTGGCGCTGGCCGTGGTGGTCGAGGGATGGCGAGCCAGGCGGGTGGGGGCCGGGGCGGCGGTCGCGGCGGCGGCCGTGGCGGCCGTGGCGGCCGTGGACAGAGTCGCCACCACTGACGACACGCATCGTGCAGCTCGCCGTTGGTCCGCGCCTCAATCCGAACTGTTGTTGCGCGACCGGGACGGGGGAGAGCGTCTCTCATAACAACAGACAGCACCAACCTTCGTACACACGTTTTTCGTCAGGGGCGGGGAACCCGCAATTTGAGATGCTGAGGCATCTGAAATTGCCCGATACGACCTCCATTCTAATTTCGATTGCCTCGAGCATCCCAAGATGCATGAACCAATTCAGGAGAAGCGCGCGCATCCTGAATTGCTTCGCGCATCCTGAATTGCTTCATGCATCTTGGGATGCCTGAGGCAACCAAAGATGTCCACGACATCCCTGATTGAGCCATTACATCCTGAGATGCTGGCCGGAGGGCGCTGCATCTCAGGATGGCTGAATTGGCGTCGCCATCCCCGAGATGTGGCAAGCATTTTCAAATGGATATTTTAACACCTCAGATAAATAAGACAATCCAGAATGCGCGCGATGACCGATGTGCGACGAGGCCTAATAGTCCGCAGCGCCCCCAATGGTGCGCCGCATGGAGGGCGAGCTCTCCCTCTCCCTCTCCCTCTCCCTCTCCCTCTCCCTCTCCCTCTCCCTCTCACTCTCTCTATTCTCACTCTCCCTCTTTCTCTCCCTCTTACTCTCCCTCTCCCTCTCTCTCTTACTCTCCCTCTCCCTCTCCCTCTCCCTCTCCCTCTCCCTCTCCCTCTTACTCTGCCTCTCCCTCTCACTCTCTCTATTCTCACTCTCCCTCTTTCTCTCCCTCTTACTCTTTTTCATCCCGTTTACCTTCCCTTTTCCCTCCATTCATACCATTTTAGATATCCCACCCCACTCCTCCGGCATAACCCCCCCCCACCCCTTCCCCCTCCTCCAGGGAGGATGACAAAGCGTTCCCTCTCCTGGGGAGGCTACTCGATCCTGTAGAAGAAGGTCTCGCCCGCCACCACCCCCTCGGGGATCTCCAGCTCCAGCTCGTCACCGTCACCGTCCACGATGGTTTTACCACTCGGGCAACTCGATGAAACGGCGGACGGAAAACGCGTTCGCGGCCGGGTGACGGCGTACGAGAGGGGGGGGAGGGGGAGTCCGGATCACCTCCTCGCTGCTCGCCTCCTCGCCATCCGCCTCGGTCTCCGCCTCGCTATCCCCCGCCTCGCTCTCCTCCGCCTCGCTCTCCTCGGAGGAGTCTGGCCACGCAGCCCGGCGATCGACGGCGGGCGCGTCGCCGCAAGTCTTTGTTCTATGTTCACGCCGAAAAGTACGTCTAACGCTCCCGCTAGCTGGGGCACGCTCCCAGGCGGCTGGGGGCCGCTCCCCAGCTCGATTAGGGCGCTTTTCACGCGATTTTACGGAATTACGGATTGGAGGGGGGTGGCGGCACATAGGGGGAGGGGGAGACGCCGATCTAGGAATCAAGTTGGTGCCGGATGGCCTCTCTCGGGGTGAGCTGGGTCGGCCTCCTCCGGGTCTGCAACTCGCACGGCGGGTCCGCGTCCGGGCAAGCATCCGCGGCCCGCGGTTGTCCTTTCGCAGGGCGCGACCGACATGGAGATCTGCTGCCCACAGATCAGTGCTTTTGTCAACTATTGCTCGCCCTCTGTGCACTCGCAACGCCAGAGGCCGTGCTTGGAGAATGCGTCGCAATGCTGCTGCGCCTGTGGATTGAGCCGCGGCACAAGCTCCATCGTTGAGCTGCGGTGGCGCGCCGGCTGCTTCATGCATAGGGCATAGCTCTCCGGCGAGCGCACCGTCCCCGCCGCACAGGAGGACGAGTACCAGTACACGGTCGAGCTGGTCCTCGCCAAGAGGGAGGCTCGCGTGGCGCGCAAGGGCATCGTTGTGCAATATGCAGTCAAGTGGGACGAGTGGGACCAAACTCCGGACATGACGTGGGAGCCGCCCGAGAACCTGTCCAACGCGAAGGAGGAGGTGGTCAAGTTTGAGCGGCGGGTGGCGGCGATGCCTTCTCGCGACGCCTTCTCCGGGCCAACAGCTTCGCCTGCGTGCTGCTATGCGACATGCTGCAAGGTGGCGGACCGCGCCGATGTCGAGACCAGCCAGTGCTTCGTGTGCGCAAAGATGGTGCACCCGGCCTGCGCGACGCAGCACCTCTTCCTCGAGCCCTTCATCCAGAAGCTCGACTCCGCCAACATCTGCTTTGATTGCGCGCTTCTGGTTGCCATGGTGGAGAAGCGGACGCCGTTTGGCATCGCTGGTGCGCGACTGATGTTCGAGCCGTACTACCTCCAGCTGCGCGGCGTTGCCGCGCTCACCGAGCCCTCGCCGTTCGCCCTCGGCGCCTTCATCGCCACCGGCTCGCTCAAGCTTTTAGAGGCCGCGACTACCACCGCGCGGTCGGCCACAGCCGGCGCCAAATGCGCCAAGTGCAAGTCGGCTGCAGGCGAACTTCGCGCTTGCTCGTTTTGCAAGGCCGGCATCTACCACGACACGCCTGCGTGCCTTGGGGAGCAGCGAGGGCCGGAGCCGTCCTTCAAGCGCACAAGAGCTTCCCCTGGTGCTGCCCAAAGTGCTTCCAAAAGGGGAAGGCGGCACTATCAAGCACCTCGCTGCGCCTGCGCCGGCCCCGACCAAGAAGCGCAGCCGGCGCTGAGTCTCGCTGACCCCTCCCACCGTGTGGGCGCCCGTCTGCTGCCGGCCGTGCAGACAGCGCGTTGCGGGAGCATTAGAGAGGCCCGCCTTCGTCTTCTGGTGGTATGTGAGGAAGGTGAAGAATTCGCATTCGCCTTGCTGGTACCCGATCCCCCCACCCCCTTGCTCCCCTCCCCCCCTCGGGAGGGCCGAACTGAGGCCCCGTGGGGACCCCGCAATTCCCTTCCCGACTGTCTGTGCTGTCGCCGCTGTCTGTCTCGCGCTTCTCGACTGTCTGTGCTTGTGCGTCTTGCTTGGGTTCGGGGTGTTGTCCCATGCGGACGATTGGAGGCCTCGTCGACTACCTGCTCGTAGTCGCCGTGCAGTCCTTCATGCTTCTCCAGGTTGGTTTCTTCGACGCCATACGCCGCCTCCTCGGAAGGCTGAGGCCTCCGCCGCCGCTGCATTCGCCAGCCGCCACGCTGCCACCCCTCCGCACCGTGTCGGTCGTGCTGCCCACCTACAACGAGGAGAGGAGCATTCGGCACTGCCTCGACGCGCTGCACCACGGCGCGGCATCGCTCGACGATGTCGAGGTCATCGTCGTTGACGGCGGCTGCCGCGACCGCACGATGGATCTTGTCGCCGAGTGGTCGGCGGCACACCCGCGGCTGCGGCTCCTGCGTGAGACGTCGCACGGCGGGCGCGGGCCCGCCGTCCGCGCCGGCGTGCGGCACGCGACGGGCGACGCCGTGCTCGTCCTGCACGCCGACACGGCTCTGCCAGCGCTGTGGGATGCGCTGCTGCTTCGCTCGCTCTCCGACCGGGCGGTGCTGATGACGGCCTTCTCGTTTCAGTGCGACCGCGCTCAGCTCGCCGAGGCGCACTCGCCGCCCGCGGGCCTCGCGCTGATGGAGTGGACTGTCAACCTGCGCTCGCGCTGGTACGAGCTGCCGTTCGGAGACCAGGCGCTGGCGACGACACGCGCAACGCTGGACGCGCTGGGGGGATATCCGCCGACGTGCGACTACCCGAGAGACTACCCGAGAGACCAACCTAGGTCAACCGAGACCAGCCGAGCAGCCTTCCGTCGCGCCAGGTGCATCCTCGAGGAGTACATGCTCGTCAACCAGGTCCGCAGGCTGACGGCGGGTGGAGCGGCGCGCATCGCCACGCTCGACGCCGCGGCGCTGTGCTCGCCCCGCCGGTGGGAGCGAGGCAAGGTGTGGAGAGTGAATGCCATCAACCAGGCGGTGATGCTGTGGCACAAGCTCGGCGCGACGCCCGCGCAGATCTTCTCCTTTTACTACGGCGTGCCTGCGCCAGACGCGCACGCGCCGGCCGAGTGGGACCCGCTCTCCCGCTGCGTCAACGGTCGGAGGTCGGCGGCGTGGGCTGCCAGCTTCGCGTCTCGGCGCGCCGCCTTTCGAGCACGCGTCTCACTCTTGAGTCGTCAGCTCCGTGCTCGAATCAAACAGGCGCGCCGTCTTTGTGCACGTGCCGCGCTGCGCGGGCACCAGCCTCGAGGCGGCGATCTTTGCGCAGGACCACTACTCGCAGCACCTCACGGCGGCGGAGCTGCGCGCTCTGCTCGGCCCGCGTGCGTACGACGGCGCCTTCCGTTTCGCCTTTGTGCGCGACCCTCTTGACCGCTTCCTCTCCGCCTTTTACTACCTCCTCTTCCGCGGCCTCACGCAGTCCGCCGCCGCCGCCGTGTCACCGCACGACCTTCTCGCGGCGGATGATGCTCCACCGCGGCCCTGCCTGATTGAGAGAGTGGTTGGTCACGGACAAGTTATCAATCACTTAGGCGGAGATGCTCCGTCGCGACTTTGGCGCCGACCCGCTGCTCTTCCTGCTCCACCTGCAGCGCCTCGAGGGGCACTGGGCGCGCGTCCCGATCCACTTTCGGCCGCAGGCTTGCTTCCTGCCCGCTGACGGCGCGGCCGGCGCCCTCCACTTTGTGGGGCGCTTCGAGGCGCTCGAGGCGGAGTACGGCCGCCTCCTCCGGGCCGAGCCGCGGCTTGCCCGCCACGCACAGCCACGCCTCGGCCATCACCGGAGGGCGATCCCGCCGCAGTCGGGACAGAACGCGAGCCGGGAGGCGGAGGCCCGGGCGGCGTGGGAGCAGTCCGCTGAGCTCCGCTCGCTGGTGCGCGAGGTGTACGCGAAGGACTATGCGCTGCTCGAGCGGTTGCTGCTCGAAGATCAAGGACAAGGTTGAGCGATGAGGACGTCGAGGTCACCCGGTCCCCGGCCAGTCTCGCGGCCGCGGGGGGCGGGGCGCCTCCCCGCACCACCCTGGGCCGAGAAGCGGTCCGGGGTCCGGGCGCGTCGCGAACGCGATGCACGCAGCCGCGCGCCGCGTTCGTTCGGCCGCGAAAAACGCGATCTACGCGACTATAGATAGGGGTCGGGAGGGGAAAATCCGCGATTTTAGCGGTAAGCCGTCGGGCTTAATTTCGTACACCCGCGCAAAGCACTTGCCACGGGCAGTCACACAAGCCAATGGCGACAGCCTGGCGACCACAGGGACACCCACAACGGACACACACATTGTGCAACTTTCCGGCTGCTGCGCTGTGCGGACGCGCGCTCTACCGCGATCGCGGGCCTCTAGAGGGCCACTACATGGCCGCGCGCCCCTTGCGCGCACCGGCGCGCCTCTGCAGCTCGCCCTCCGACAGCCTCCAGCCGATGTGCACGTCGTCGTTGAAGTTGGCCTCGGTCAGGATCTCCCATGACCACGACTCGGGCTCGTCGCGCTCGGCGTCTGCCGGCCAACGGATGCGCGCCGCGCCGGCCTTGGCGAGCTTCTTGCACCTCGGCTTGTCGGGCTCCTGCTTGTCGGTCGTGCCGTTGGCGATCTGCGCGATTGGGGCGAGTGTGGCGCAGTGAGCATCATGTGGCATGAGTGTGTGCGAGGTGGACGAGTGGCATGGGGAGGCGGCTGGTCGGGCGACGACACACCTGCACAACGGTGCCGAGGCACCACATCTTCGCCCCCTTCCGGCGCTGCCTGCCGCTCGCGTCGGTGTAAGGCACCCAGTAGCGCCAGCAGATCTCCAGCTCTGCCCACACGAGCGAGTCGTCGCAGGGCGGCGCGTCGTCGGGTTGCCCGTCCGCCACGCGGTCAATCTCGCCCGCCTCCTCGAGCCGCACGCGCTCGCGCTCCGCCCGCTCCAGCAGCTCCTCCGCCCCGTACTCCTGGACCCGGCTCGCAATCTCCTTCGCCTGGACGGTCGGCGTGCCCAGCTCCTTGAACGTCTTGCGCCGCACGGTCGGGATGGGGCAGCGGTCCGGCAGCTCGCACGCGCCCCGCCGCTCCTGCTCCTCCTCGAGGATCTCCTTGAGGTGGCCGGTCAGGTCCTCGACGGTGCCGATGTCCTCGTCCTTGCTCGAGCCCCACTGCAGCCTGTAGTTGAAGCTCAGGCCGATGACCCGCATCTCGCACTGCTCGCGGAGCCAATCGAGCTTGTCCTGGTTGTCCGCGATCTTGGCGAGCTGGACCGTCATCTCGCGGATGGAGCTCACGCCGCGCGTCTGCCAGCGCTGGAAGAAGGAGAGCGCGAGGCCGTAGCGCCTGACGAGCGCGTCCAGCTCGAGCTGGGAGTTGGTCTTGCGCTTGTGGGCGACGTAGTCGTCATGCTCCTGCGGCGAGGGAGGGAGGGAGCGCGCTCTCTTACCCGCCGGCGGGCTGCTACTGGTGAAGGATAGAGCGGCGCCTTGTGGTGCGCCCGGTCGACGGCGCGCTCCGAGCGCACCGAGAGCCGAGCCTCCTCGAGGAGCACCTCCTGCATCTCGCGGCTCAACTGCCAGAAGGCGCCGTCGGACTCGAACGATTTCGTCGACAGCGCCTGCGCCAAGGCGGAAGCAGCCTCGACGGTGATGCCCGGGTAGCGCCGCATGATCATGTCGACGCGGCCAAAGACGGACTCGGCCAGCCGGTCGTTGGTCGCGTCGAGGCCAATCGTGTCAACGTGCGCCTGCTCCATCGCCTCGTACGCGTAGGCGCCGTCGAGCGCCGCCACGTGCTTGGCCAGCGCGAGCTTCGTGTCGCGAATCTTGAGCAGGCCGCCGGCCGCCTGCACCTCGATGTACTCCACCGTCTTGGCGCGCGAGGCGATGTTGGTCGGGTCGGTCGGATTGAGGAGCTCGCCGAGCGCCAGCTTGTAGAGCAGGAGCGGCGTCTTGCCGTCGGGGGCGAGCACCGTCTCCTCCTCGTACGTGTAGCTGCGCCACTCGGCAAACCCGCGCTGCTCCGCGGTGATCGGGGCGTAGACGTCGAGCGACGAGTCGAGCAGCACGCTGCCGTCGGCCGCCGCCCGCTCCAGGATGGTGTACACGCAGTCGAGCGCGCGGTTCATGCTCAAGGGGGACCAGTTCGTAAGCTTTGACGTGTCGAACGTGTTGCCAGCGAGCCAGCGGTACGGACGCGAGATCAGCAGGTCGATGACAGCGTTCGCGCGCGTCATGGCGATGTACTCGTTCGCGGTAAAGCAGACGTACAGAAAGTCCTCGAGGACGTTCGAGTGGTCGTTCGAGAAGACGAGCATGGCGAGGAACTCGACGATGTACTTGCGGTTGACGTACATCGCGATGGCCGCGTCGTAGTCGAGGTCCTGCGGGGCGAGACGCGGCTGATTGCGGGGAGATTGCGGGGAGATCAGACACGCCGCAATCCGGTGGGCGCGTCACCTGGCGGCCGCCATCGGCGCGCTCGAAGTGGATCGCAAACGCGGAGGGGTAGTTCGCGAGTAGCCACGCCGAGAACTCGACGCCCTTGCCCTTGTAGTAGCGCTGCGTGTGGTGCAGCTCCTTGTACGTCGCGCGCAGCAGCTGCGTGAAGTCGGTCGACATCCGCTCCCACGCGCTGAAGTTGTCCAAGTGCGGCTTGAGCTCCTCCGCGACGTGCCGCGCCTGCGCGGCGGACATCTCCTTCAGGAAGATGTTCCGCATGTGCTGGTGGCAGTCGAGCAGGTGGACGCGCAGCTCGTGCTCCTTCTCCTCGTCCGAGAGGCCGTCCCAGGCGTCGCCCATCTTCTCGCGCGCCATCTCCGTCGCCTGCTCCTTGATCATCTCGGAGAGCAGCCGCTTGGTCTTCTCGGCCGTGGCGCACGTGTCCGACATGAGCGCGCCGCCGCCTGCGAGCCGCGCCAAGGAGAGAGCGGCAGCCTCAGGTCCGGGCCACGGCACCCCCGGGTGCATCAACCGCCAGCGCCGCATCAACCGGTTGATAAAGTCGCGCCCGCGGGCAAAGCACTTCGTCTCGATCGTCTTGGCCTCGCCCGCGGCGGTGCCGTCCGGGGAGAGGTAGGAGGCGCGCAGGATCACCGCCTTGAGGGGGGCGCCCTTCTTGGGCTCGATGACGACGTTCGAAGTCATCATGGGCTTCCCGAACTTGGTCGTACCGTCGAAGCCCAGCATGCGGATGCTGTACGCGCCGGCGACCTCCATGAAGGCGAGCGCCTCCTCGATGAAGCGCAACTCGAACCGCCACTCAGTCAGCGCGCGTGACGACGGCTCGTCGATGTTGAGCCACGGCGCGACGGCGCGAAGGACGCAGCGCACGTTCGGGACCACGGCGGACTGCGGCGTCATGTTGGACATCATCGCCATAGCGGTAGTGCGCCAGAGGAAGCCGAACTTCTTGGCGCCCTTGCCGCCGCCCGCGCCGCGCGCCTCCCTCTCCCACACGTCCATAGCGAGCACCTTGCCCTGGGACTCGTAGAGCGTCTCCATCTCGGTCGGGTCGGCGCCGGGCTGCGCCTTGAGCTCCTCGCACTCCGCCTCCGTCGCGGCCAGCTTATCCTTGAGCGCCTTCAACTTGCCCAGCCGCGTGTCGGCGAGCTCGCTCTGCGCCTCCGCCCTGGCCCGCTCGCCCCGCTTCTCCGCGTGCGCGTCCGTCTTCAGCCGCTTCGCCTGCACCAGCTTCTTCTCCATCGCCGCGGTCGCCCGCTCGAGCTCGCCCTGCGCGCGCGCCTTCTCGCGCAGCAGCTTGTCGTCGTACTCGCTCTCGAGGCGAGAGCGGACCTTGCTGACCTGCGCGGCGACCGTGTCGGCGATGCGCATCTTGCCCTTCTCCTTGGCGAGCAGCTGCGCCTGCGACTTGAGCTGGTTCGCGTGCGTGAGCTTCTGCTGCAGCACCGTGTTCTGCTGCTCCGCCGCCTCGAGACGCTCGTGCAGGTCCGCCTTGGAGCACTTCGGCTCGAACGTTGGCTCAGTGGCGAGGACGGCCACACGATCTCGAAGAACTCGGCCGCTCACGCGCAGCAGCGCCGCCACCGCCGGGATCGCGGCCACATGCCGCGGCGACGCGTTGCCTTTCATGTCGCGCACGGGCCCGGCGATCCTGCGCTTGGACTTGGACTGGCGCAGCGCGACGACGTAAGCGTCAACTTGAGCTGGCGTGACGACGCCGACGGAGCCGCTCCACGTGCTCACCACGGCGGCGGCGGTCTCGACCTCGCCGCCGCCGATCCGGACCGACAGCGCGGTGTCGAGGGGCTTAAGAACGGGGCCGTGCGTCGCCCAGGTCGGAGAGGAGGAAGGCGGCGCCCACACCTGGCCGTCGAGGCCGCAGCGGCCAACTCGGTCGGCGTCGCTCTCCGCGTTGAGCACCCACTGCTGCGCGGCGCGCACGTCCGAGCTGAAGTAGAGCAGCACGAGTGTGCCGATGACCTGCACCTCGATCACCGTCGCCGCCGCCTTGCCCGGGGCGTAGAAAGGTCCAGCGGGCGTCGGCGCGAGTGGCGCGGGAGCGGCCGCAAAGATGGAGCTGTCCTCGGGCTCGACCGCCATCGGCGCGGCCGGCGACTGCATCTTCTCCCAGAGCCGCTTCTGCTCGTCGGACAGGGAGTCGAAGAAGTGCAGACTCGCGACGACCTGCTCGCTGTTGCCCAGGCAGACGGGCCCGCCTGCGCAGAGCGGCGCAGAGCGCGTGAGTTTGCAGGGCTGCACGCGGCTGTGGGCCGCACTGTGGGTGGATCCAAGGGCGGGGCGCTAAACACCTGCGGGTGATGCTCCGATAAACCCGCCGGATCTTCGACAAAAGCAGGGACATTTCTTTTTTTGGAAGGGTAGGTGTGAATACAGCTTTCTGGTAGGGTTACATCGACGAACTATGCGGCAATCGACTGGGGGGCAGCCCCCCAGCACATCCCGCACAGAGACCTGGATGTAACCCGATTGTGAGCGTGAGTGAAACCGCCGATGCGATTGCTCATTGCTCAGTCAGTGACCGACAGTCAGTCGCAGCAGACTTTGACGATTGGCGGCCTCGCGCCCTCAGTCGCCCTCCTCTACTAACGGCCCTGCCCCAGCCCAGATGCCTCATCCAGGGTGGTGCAACCACTCGCGCAGGGAGGGAGAGACAGTCGGCGATCTGCGCCGCGCAGATGAGCTCCGCCTCGTCTGCGTCGAGGACGTCCACCGCAGGGCTATCATAGCGCCATATGACGCACTGCCTGTTGTTCATTACTTCGCAGGTGCCAACGTCGAGGACAATCTCACTGGTGGCGGCTGCACTCCCGGCCGGCGGTAGGAGAGATGAAGGCTAATGTACTTGGCAGTGTACGGGGCCTTCCGGCGTGAACAGTGCCCCGGGACGAAAGAGGAGGCGACGTCTCTCTCGTCCACGAGCGCCTCGATGTGCGCATCGACGGTGTAACCAGCTTTGAGAGACGGGAACGAACGGCGGTGAATCGCCGACAGGTGCGCCTTCGTTCCTACCACCACTCCCACCACCGCCAGCTCCGCCGTGGACCTTGCCGGGCCCTCTGATGATGTAGTACCGTGGAGCAGCTAGTCCGAGCCGTTGTTGTACTCTGCTGTGGCGCCAGCTCGGTGTACAATACGGACGAAGACGGCCACAGCAACGGTGTAACCAGCGCGAGCAGGCAGCGCGAACCGCTGTGCCTCGGCGCGCCGGCCGCCGAAATCCTCTAATAAGAGTTCTTTGGCATAGGGGAACCCCAACCCTAAATTTTCTTCGCCTGCGGCGGGCCATCACTTGGATTCGCTGCTTTCGGATTCATTAGCTCTTTCGCACGCCTTTATCCGTCACTCCCCCGAAGATTGGAGGTGTTGATTTATGCACAAATCTATGTGTTGCGAGCGCTAGATGGCGAAATTTTCTTCGCCTCCGGCGGGGCCGCTCGCCGCGGGGCTAGAGAGGGACTTTTGTCGATGTCGGCTAGAAGTGCTGCACCTTTTTGAGAATTTCACCCCTGCTGGCTGCGTCGGTTCCGCTGGGTAGGGCTGGGTAGGGGCCGCTCCAAGCATCAGGAGGAGGGGCTGCAGCAGCCAGTGAAAAGCTCGCCAACTGCCACGGATCACCTTTCCCGCGCAAAACGGAGGCCCCGGAGCGCTGCCATAGGGCGCGGTGGTGCCCCAAACCTCGCCTGAAAGCGCAGCAGATCGGCCGGGCGGCTAGCGGACCAGCCCGGCCGGGTCGCGCATGCGACGGAGAGTCGGAGGCCATCGAAGTCGAAGCGAGGCTGGATTTGAGGATTTTTAGGGACCTGGAATTTATTTGTTTTTGGGGCGCTCGAATTTATTTTTCTGGCGACCTGTCCCGACCCCTACTATAGAGACGTTAAGAACGAACGGCTCAAAAAATGGTGTACGTACGCGAACACAAGATCAGCCGGAGACCTGTGTGCTGCCCCACATATAACACAGTCAACGCACATTGTGAGTTTGAACACATGCCGTTCTTGTGCGTTGTGGGTCCTGGCCGTGGCCCGTGCGCAGGCTAGCGAGGGCCTCAGGAGGAGGGCCTCCACCACTCGAGGGCCTCCGCCCTCGGCCCAACACCGCGTCTCGTCACCCTGAGGAGGAGCCATGGCTCGATGAGCGGTCGACAGGGATCGCCGCGCCGTCGTCGGCGAGCCGCCGCTGGAGCTGCTTTTTCGACATCCCGCCCTCGTGGCTCCGCTTGCGCTCGACCGGCGCCGGCACCGCCGCAGGGGCTGGCATCGCGGCGCTGGCGGCGCCGTGCGACGGCGTGGTCGACAAGGCCCTCAGCGCGTTCGCGGCGTCGGACCCGTCTCTCGGCTGGGAGGCGAGCTGGTGGTTGATGCGCAAGAGGCCCCCTACAGGCATCCCGGGGGTGGGGCGGGGGTGGTCCGATGCACATCACGTGCGGCGGCTACGAGGGAGGCGTCGCGAGGGAAGCGGGGGGCAGCGGCAGCGGCAGGGTTGCACCGGACGGCGAGTCGCCAAACGCGTAGAGCGTGCGCGTCCGTGGCGTCATCGCCGCCACTGGCGTGCGCGGGTGCGACACGAAGACGTCTCTGTCGCCAAGGACGCGCTGTGGCGACGCGAGCACGCCGCTCGGCGGCCGGATCTCGGACTCGGCAGTGGACTGGAGCGTGGAGCAGGGCGAGCGCTGCTGCTTGCGCGACGCGTCGAGGATGCGCAGCAGGTGGTCCTTCGGCAACGGAGGGACGCTGTCGGGGCGAGGGAGAGGAGGGCAGGGAAGCGGCCAACGACTGCGCAGCGGAAACGGCGGGGGGGGGGGGGGGGGGCGGGCGGCGGCGCGGGCGCGCCTTCATCGCCGGGATGAAGATCTTGTTGTAGAAGGCGATGATGTCTTGCGGCGGCTCCCCAGCGTCACCCATGCGCACCTCGCGGAACACCTTGGCCGCCGCCTTGTCCTGCCGCTTGTACTGCTCGATGATGTCTCGGAACGTCTTTGGCGCCTCCTCCTGCCGCTTGTTGACCTTGCACACACCGTAGATGGTGCACATGATGATTTGGTCGAGGTGGCGGCCCCTCATCAGGTGCCGCGCGGGCCCCTCCACCACCACCTTGATGCACTCCCAGATCTGCGCCACCAGCTCCTTGCGCAGCAGCAGCCGGAGGCACAGGTCGTTCACTCGGCTGGCCGCGAGATACTTGACCTTCTTCAGAAACTGCTCCAGCGCGGTGGCGGCGCGCGACTCGCCGCCCGCCGCTTCCGGCGACGCAAGCAGCGCGTCGTACTCGCGCAGCTGCGCGTGGAGCGGCGACTCGAGCGCCCACGCCATGTGCTCGAGGATCTTGACCTCCACCTCGCGGAAGTGGACGCGCAGGTACTGCGGCAGGCTGGGCTCGTGCTTGACGAAGGGGTCGATCACCTTGTACAGGTCGAAGGGCGAGAGATCGAGGGTGTGCATGATCTGCGGGAAGACCGAGGACTGCATGCAGTAGGAGGCGAACACGCACTCCATGCAGCAGGCGAAGAGTGAGGAGTGGAAGATGCCCTGCGACAGCAGCGTCTCGACAAAGTGCCCGTGCTGCAGCCGCCTCTCCTCCGACTCGAGGAAGGCGAGCAGCATCTTGTGGTAGAGCCGGCGCCCGAGCACGCACTGCTCGTCGATCTCCTCCGCCTCATACTCGCCCGCCGCCGCGCGCAGCTTGTCGCAAAGCCCGTCCAGCCGCTGCTCGATGGCCTCGGCGGGCGAGGCGCTGCAGTGCGCAAAGTACCCGGCGAGCGCCTCAGACGCCTCCTCCGCCGGGACCCCGCGCACGGCCGCGCGCAGCCAACCGACGCACTCCAGCTGGCCCGACATCGGCGTCGCCATCAGGTGGCTGTGCGCGGGCGACGAGGGCGGGTTCGGGTCGCGCAGCGGCGTCATCAGCACCGCGTTGCCCGACCGCGCGCACGCCGCCGAGCTGCTGCGGCAAGGCGATGTGACGCCGCGCGGCATCGCGCCGCCCGCAGCCGACGCGCTCGGCAGCGACGCGATGCTCGAGAGCGCGCGGTCGTCAAGCGGCTGCTTCGTCTCGACGACGAGCTTGGCGTAGCGCGCGTCGACTGCCTCGCGCGCCTTGCGCAGGCTGGCGGCGTCGCGCAGCAGGCCGGGCGCGCTGCTCGGGCCGCCGGCAGCCTGCTGCAGCCCGAGGGTGGCGCGCAGGTCGGCCGAGACCTTGGCGACGGCCGAGTCCAGCTTGTAGATCCGGTCCGGATCCGCCTTCAGCTCCGCGTGCAGCGCGGCGCGCGCTGGCGCCGGCATCGGGTAGTGCTCCTTTGGCACGAGGGCGCCGAGCGACTGCCAGATTGCGCCGCCGCGGGCGTCGAGTGGGAGGTGGGACAGGAGCAGCTCGATGACGCAGACGAGGAGGTGGTACACGTCGAGGACGTTCCCGCCGCCGCTGGCGCCGAAGACGAGGCACTTTGCGACGAGGAAAGCGCACCAGCCAAGCTGCTTTGAGTCGTCGCTCGTCGTTTGGTCGGCGGTGGCGGCGCCGACAAAGCCAGAGGGGAAGAGGGTGGCGAAGAGCTGGTCGTACTTTTTCCACGCGACCGTGGCGGCCATGTAGTGCTCCTTGAGCCGCCGCAGCGCCTCCGGAATCGGCTCGCCGGGGTGCAGCCGCAGGTGCTGCTCCTCTACGCTGCCGAAAAAGTCCTGCGGCACAGCAGGGGTGGTTGGTGGCCTGCAGCCGCGGAGCTGCGCAGGGCGGTTGGCGCGCGCGAGCCTTGACGCTGATCCCCGCATTCCGGACCAGCCGCTCGACGGGTGTCGGCTCGCCCAGCCGCAGGCCCGTCAGGTATGCGACAGCCGCAAACTGAGCGCCAAACGACGCGGGCGCCTGGAAGAGGCAGCCCCGGTGTAAGGTGGCCGCTCGGCGGCGGGGCGGGGCGCGCCGCATCGCGGCGGCGGCAGGGGTGCGGCGAGGGGCCGAACGGCGCGGGATGAAGAGCTGTGCGCTGCCGAGTGTGCCCCCCCCCCGCCGTCTGCGCCTGCGCGCAGCTCGCCAGGTTGGCCAGCTTGTCCCTCTGCTCGAGAAGCCCTCGGACCGCGGCCCAGCCCTCCTCGACCACCCGGGGGGAGGCGCCCTCCCCACAGACACGAACGAACTCCTGCTGCAGCTCAGACATTTCGCGCCTTGCAGCAGTCCTGCAGGACGGCGGCAGATTTTCCCGACTGATTTCTCCTCTCCCCTCCCCTGGCGAGGTCTCCCAAGCAAACCGGGTTTTTTGTCTGGCCGAGTCAACCCGAGCCTCGGCGAGACTGCGTCAGCTGTTCCCACAGCAGGCTGGAAGTACCTCGCCAGCCCCTCCCCTTCTTTTGATGACCAACACCGTCTCCCCCCTTACGCCGGCGCCAGTTATCTTCATCGGGTCGCCGTGGGGGGGAGGGGTGACGCATTTCGGACGCGCCTCGGGATGGGGAGCGGAGTGGCCAGGTCCCGCTCACCACGCCGCCACTGGCTCGAGCCCAGCGTCGTGGTAGAGCTTGTGCCGCCGCGCCGGCGCGCGCTTGCGCTTGCCGAGAAAGAGCTCCTGAGCAGCAGCCGACCGGTGGGTGGGCACGGGGCGGTGTGGTGCAGTCGGCGCATCGCGCGCAAGCCACGGGCGACCGAACGCGAAAGCGCGCGCCGGGGGGGGGGGGGTAACGGTGGTGCGGGGGGGGGGGTGCCCCCCTGGAAGCCCGTGCTGTGCGGTGCTCCATCTAGGGGAAGAGCTCCATCGCGCTGCGCTGCGCCCCCTGGTCGGGCGCCTCGTCGTCCGGCCAAGGGAACGGGACGGCGCCCTGCGCGGCCGGGTTCTTTTCCAGCACCTCGAGGGCGGGCCCCCAAGAGAACCGGCAGACCGACGGCCAGCTTACGGGACGGTTCCGAGACAGTTCCGAGGGAGCGAGTGGTCCTCGAGGCCCGGCGCGAGGGAGGGCGGGGGGCGGGGGCGGGGGGGGGGTTGAGGGGGAGAGGGGAATGGTTGGTGCTCGCGAGGAGGAGGAGGAGGTGGTTTGGGGGGAGAAGGGGGCGGGTGCAGGAGGAGGGGGCTCGCCGAAGAGCGGGTGCAGGTTGGCCTTCATCCACCGAACCGTCTCCTTGTCGCCCGGATAGCCGCACCCCCACGAGTAGTCGTCGCCTAGGGGCACGTCCTGGACGTGTCCACTGCCCTGGCGCCGCCGCCGCCGCCGCCCTTCGTGGCCGTCGCCCAAGCTCGGGTGCTCGAAGCGCCAGCCGGCGAGGATCGCGTCGCGCGGCACCTGACCGGGGGCGACGCCTCGGTCATCCATGATTCGCCTGGTGAGTGCTGAGCGGTGTCTTGTCTTCTGACTGTCCGTGCGTGACCTTGGGGGGGCGGGGCGGTGCTTTTGTGTGAGTGGTGAGTGGAGGGTGGGGCGAGGATCGCGATGCGCGGCGCCTTTGCGCAGATCGAGGCCGCCGAGACGACCGGGAAGATCGAGTCAGCCTTTTTGGCCACCGTGATGGAGAGCGACGGGAAGATTCCCTCGAGCTTGCGCTGGGGGAGGGGGTGGTGGAAGTGAGCAGGCTCAGCCAGGGAGAGGGGGCGGAGAGGGTCGGTGGCAGCATCCGTGGTGTGCATGGCCGTGGGCATGCTGGTGTGCATGGCGCCTGGTAGTGCTCCGGGTCGCCGACCGTGTCGACGTACAGGTGGCGGAGGTTGACGCCGAGCTCGATGACCTCACGCACGAGCCCGATGGCCGCGTCGTGCGACATCGCGTTCAGGTTGTACGGGCTCGGCCGCCGCAGCATCCCCGCCGCGATCTCCTGCGCGTGCAGCACGCGAATGCGCCAGCCGAGGAAGCCGGAGGCGCGCAGGTCGGCCCACAGCGCCTCGCGCTTGGCCTCGGTGAGGGTCTTCGAGTCGGCGAAGCCCATCGCCTTGAGCTTGTCCAGGTCGGCCACGCGGCAGTACGCGGAGCCGTACACCATCGGGCCGAGCGTCGGTCCGCGGCCCGCCTCGTCGATCCCCATCATCACCTCGTCCTGGGGCGCGGGGGAGCGAGCGTGGATGCGCGGGACGGAAGCCGGGGCGGGTGGGGCGGCCGGCGCACCTGGGAGGAGCGGAGTTCTTCGACGCAGCCATCCAGCGGAATGCAGCGGGTGGCGCTGCGGCCGGCCGAATCCGCCGCCACCCACTTGGGCGTGGTGCGGTCGGGGTAGCCAGACATGGCTCGCGATCAGGGGCCGGTAGCGAAAGTTTCGCCAGCTCCAGGGCCGGGTCTCTTTGCCAGTTTGCGGCCGGCGAGAGCGGCGGGAGTTCTGGTATAGTAGAAGAAAACGCAGTGGTAGTCCCAAGACGTTCAAACCTCAGTGGTGCTCCACAAAGGGCTCTTCAGGGTTCCGTATATTTGGGGGGTAGGGTAGGGTAGACTCCGCAGATCTGTGCAGACCCCCTACCCCCCTAGCCCCTACAGTTGTTTGTACCCACGCGCCACGGCACACATGCAGGCATACGTGCCGCCTAGTTTTGTTTGCGAGATTTTTAGCAATACCAAACAACTCTAACACTCACACGTCATTTGGGGCCTGGAGCCCTGTCCACGCGCGCGCGAGACGTGCAGACAGGGTTGCCAGGTGAGAGCGAATGGCGCGGTTCACGCCTCGCACAACAGAGAGAGAGATGCGCTCTGCATGGTGGGACATAAAAGAGAGCGAGTACTTGGGCGAGTAGGCTGTGCGGTCAACGCTGCCGCGCGCGACTTTGCGCGCGAGGCGGCGCAGCTTGAGAACGGCGGTGGGCGAGAAGCCGCCGCCGAACGTCTCGTGGAGCAGCAGGTTGAAGTTGTTGCGCTTGACAAAGATCGCGTCGTGGTAGAAACCGCGATGCGCCTTGACGTAGCCGTGGCCGGTCTTGTGGTCGAAGGGTTGGCCGGGCTGCCCGCGCGCCTTGCAGCCCATGTTTAGGCGGCGGGCCTTCTCTTCGGTGTTGCCGAAGGCGTAGGAGTGGCCAACGGAGGCGGGCGTGCCGCCACTCGAGGCGTTGCCAACGCCCGCCGAGGAGGTCTTGAGGAGGGGCGTCCAGAGCTTGACTTCATTCACCTCATCGCATCTTCCCGGGCCAGCGTGGGGTTCCGCGAGGTCGACCTTGTACCCCTCGTTGTACTGCCGGGTGAGCTCTGGTTTCTCCTTGTCACCGTGCACGACCGGCGCGTTGGCCGGGGCGCGCGTCGCGTCCGCCCAGGCGGCGAGGACGCCTTCGTGGGGCCGCCGGTGGTGGGCCTTGTTGTGAAGGTAGTCGCCGAAGAAATCGACTGGCATGCCCCGCTCGAGCGCGACCCGAAGGGTGGGAAGCGCCGCGGAGAGCCAAAGGCCGAGCTTCCGCTGGAGCTCGTCCTGGAGGGTGTCGGAGGAGAGGGCGGTGGCGTACGTGCCGTCGACACGGACATCGAGGGCCTTGCCGGCGAAAGGCGTTGAGGCGGAGATGAAGCGCGCGGCTTCGCGGTTGTTGACGGCGCTGTCTCCGAGGGACGGGTTGTTCTTGACGTGCAAGCTGCGCCTGGAGCCACGCGAGGTCGCGGAGCGCCTGGGGCGAGGCGTCGGCGCGAGCAATGCTCTCAAAGGACTTGCGGATGCGGTTGTGCGCAAACTCGAGAGCGTCGCACGCGACATTGGGCGGCGTGATGCCGGCAATGTACTTGGTCTTTGCGCAGGCAATCCGTTGGACGAGGTTGAGGCGGAGCTGCGAGGTGTTGGTGTTTGTGACGCAGTCAGTGTCGACGATCATGTCGATGACGTCGAGCGGCGCGAGCTTCTTCCTGAGGTGCGCGGTGAGCTCCTTTTTGCGGGCCTCAGGGTCGCCAAAGAAAGTACCGACGGCCTTGAAGCAGTCCACTCGCCCCGTGGGTTTGTTTTGTACTCTAATAGCTAGCTAACGTGCCTTTCATTTTTAGCTACCACCGCCTCTTCCACCTTTTTGCGGGGTACGGTAGGTCCGCCTTATTCGAAAGACACTCCTGCGTGTGAGTGAGTGAGTGACACACACACACACACACTCGTGTGTGAGTGAGTGTGAGTGTACACACACACACACACACACACACACACTCTCTCTCTCTCTCTCTCTCTCTCTCTCTCTCTCTCTCTCTCTCTCTCTCTCTCTCTCTCTCTCTCTCTCTCTCTCTCTCTCTCTCTCTCTCTCTCTCTCTCTCTCTGCTCACAGCTGCAGGCGTGAACAGACGCCGTCGTTGGCCACGGCGTACGTACACCTTACACCAAGTTTATATATATATGTCCTACCGAGGCGAGGATCGTCGCTGGCGTGATGAGCAAACGCGCCGAGTACGGACGCGAAGAGCGGCGATGGCGGGGCGAGCCGCGACGGCGGTCGCGATCGCGTGAGCCGCGGCGCGACGAGCGTTGGCAAGGTGAGCAATGGCCGCACCATGACGGGCGGCAACACGAGCGGCGCGGCTACAACGACGCTTGGTGCGGAGGTCGCGAGCAGCGATGGCACGATGAGTCACAATGGCCCGATGAGCGCGAGCAACGGCCGCATCATGACGGGCGGCATGACGAGCGGCGCGGCTACGATGACCGTCGGTGCAGAGGCGAGCGCGAGCGCGGCTGGCACGATCGGCGCGATGACTGGCACTGGTCCCACGATCCCAGGCGCGACCGACGCGGCGAGGGGCAGCCTCAGCGCAGCGATGGCCGGGTGGGACCGCCCATGCACGGAGTGCAAGGACGCGACGAGCAGCAGAGCCGTCGCCACGCACATGAGCGCCCCTCGTCTAGCGGCTCTGCTGCCGGTCAGCTCAACGCTAAGCAGCTCAGCAGCCACATCTCAAATGCTGGCAGCGCTGACGCATTGCTCGCGCTCTTTTCTGCCCACAGCGCGAACTTGAACCACATCCACGCTGCGAACCTGTGGAACAAACTGGGCAAGCAGCGCATCGAGCGGTGGCACGAGGAGCGGCTTGAGCAGCTGGTGCAGCGCACGCTTGACCTCGTCGCGTCATGCGAAGCACGCAATCTGGCGAACATCGCCCACGGCGTGGCAAAGTGCGGCCTGCAAGTAGGGGTTGTGCGTTCGCTGTACACGGCGATGGCGGAGGCGGCGGTGCGCGGCGGGCTGGCTGGCTTCAAGCCGCAGGAGCTGGCCAACACGGTGTGGGCGTATGCGACGGCGGGCGTGGCTGCGGACGCGCTGTACGCGGCGGTGGCGGAGGCGGCGGTGCGCGGCGGGCTGGCTGGCTTCAACGCTCAGGCACTAGCCAACACGGTGTGGGCGTATGCGACGGCGGGCGTGGCTGCGGACGCGCTGTACGAGGCGGTGGCGGAGGTGGCGGTGCGCGGCGGGCTGGCTGGCTTCAAGCCGCAGGCCCTGGCCAACACGGTGTGGGCGTATGCGACGGCGGGCGTGGCTGCGGACGCGCTGTACGCGGCGGTGGCGGAGGCGGCGGTGCGCGGCGGGCTGGCTGGCTTCAAGCCGCAGGCCCTGGCCAACACGGTGTGGGCGTATGCGACGGCGGGCGTGGCTGCGGACGCGCTGTACGCGGCGGTGGCGGAGGCGGCGGTGCGCGGCGGGCTGGCTGGCTTCAAGCCACAGAACCTGGCCAACACGGTGTGGGCGTATGCGACGGCGGGCGTGGCTGCGGACGCGCTGTACGCGGCGGTGGCGGAGGCGGCGGTGCGCGGCGGGCTGGCTGGCTTCAAGCCGCAGGACCTGTCCAACACGGTGTGGGCGTATGCGACGGCAGACTACTATCACCAGGCGCTGCTTGCCGACTGCTCGCGCGTGATCAGCGACTCGCTCGCGCGGGATCCGTCGAGGTGGGGCGTCGTGCGCCGCTCTCAGCTGCACCAGTGGCAGCTCTGGCTCTCCCTTGAGCGAGGAGCAGACGGGCAGCAGCACCTCCTCTCCGAGTCCCAGCGCAAGCTCTGCTGCGACGCCATGCAAGGCACCGAAGTTACGATCTCGCGCTTACAGCGCTCCGTCGCGGCTGCCCTCGCCGCCGTCCAGCACGGCTTCGAGGAGGAGCACCTCGAGCCGCGCACCGGCTACTCGCTCGACCTGGCGCTGCCCTCTTCACGCGTCGCTGTCGAGGTGGACGGCCCCTCTCACTTCCTGCTGCCCGACGGCCGGGGCGTGCGCAAACCCAATGGGCCAACGCTGCTCAAGCGGCGCCTCCTCGCGGCGGCTGGCTGGAGGGTGATCAGCGTTCCATTCTACGAGTGGGACGGTTTTGCGACAGCCAATGGGCAGCAAACCTACCTGGAGAGGGCGGTCGCTCCGCTGTTGGGCTAGGGCTAGTACTGTGCACGCACTGACTCCCGTAGGGCGGCTCCCGTGGTGTACCTGTGTTATTGGTCGAGGTCCCCCGTGTTCCTTTTACCCGTGTGGCGTGTGTTACCCGTGTGTTAAATCCTTTTACCCGTGGTGTACCTTTATCCTCGTCCGCTCGTGCCTGCGAGCTGTGACCTGTGTCAGTGGCGCGGCTGGGTCCTGGGTGCAGCGGCCGCGACAAAGGTGATGAGCCCCGGCGGCGCGGCACTCGAGGGGTGCCCTCTGCAGCGCCGTGCGCTTCAGAACGCGCAGGAGGGTAGAATCCTCCTCGAACCTTTTCCAAAAGCGGCGGTCCGCGTCGGCCGTGCCGCCGAGCTGGTCGCCGGCTCGGCGAGACATGCTATGCACGCCCGCGCGCGTGGCGGTTGGTGTTGGGTCTGTTAGGTCCGCGACGAGCTCCGCTGACAGCACCAGCTCCTTCACCTCCTCCCACCGCCGCAGCCACCGCCCGCCGCCCAGAGCCCACAGGAAACGGTAAGCGCCGAGCCATTGAGGGCGTACCAACTTGCTCACCCAGCCTATGCTATCACTATATCCAAACCCGCCCCGGGTGCCGCCACTCGAGGCGTTGCCAACGCCCGGCGAGGAGGTCTTGAGGAGGGGCGTCCAGATTGATTTCATTCACTTCATCGCACCCCCCCGGTCCCGCATGGGGTTCTGCGAGGTCAGTCTTGACTTGTACCCCTCGTTGTACTGCCGGGTGAGCTCTGGTTTCTCCTTGTCACCGTGCACGACCGGCGCGTTGGCCGGGGCGCGCATCGCGTCCGCCCAGGCGGCGAGGACGCCTTCGTGGGGCCGCCGGTGGTGGGCCTTGTTGTGAAGGTAGTCGCCGAAGAAATCGACTGGCATGCCCCGCTCGAGCGCGACCCGAAGGGTGGGAAGCGCCGCGGAGAGCCAAAGGCCGAGCTTCCGCTGGAGCTCGTCCTGGAGGGCGTCGGAGGAGAGGGCGGTGGCGTACGTGCCGTCGACACGGACATCGAGGGCCTTGCCGGCGAAAGGCGTTGAGGCGGAGATGAAGCGCGCGGCTTCGCGGTTGTTGACGGCGCTGTCTCCGAGGGACGGGTTGTTCTTGACGTGCACGTCCCGCGCCTTGACGAGCTCCTGGTGCGCGTACCAGTCCTTGTGATTCTTGGCGCCTATCCCCTACCCCTCCCCACTCTCGCCTTTCATTTGTGTCACACCACGCGGAACGCGCATCTCCATCGCTTCACGGTGAAGGGGGCCGCACCATCCTCGATCGTCGTGCAAAGCTCGCTTCCGAGCTCTCACGCCGCGCGTAGGGCCCTTAGGGGCCTAGAGAACACAACCCCCTCTCCTTTTTCTCCCAGTAAGCTAAAAGTACACTACTGGGGGAGTGCAAAAGTACGTCGCCGACTCCCTCTCTCTCGCCGACGGACATTGGATTCCGTGTCCTCAAGGCAGACGCGCTGACCTCGTCGGTGCCCCCCCCCCCGCTCCGCCACACAAGGGCCCTGCCTGGATCCCGGCTCTGGCGTTCGAACCCCGAGAGCAGCCCGCCTCAGAAGCTGGCCATCCTGCGTGCGCATGATCGGCGTACGCGAGCCTTGTCACCAATCAGACACGCTCCCCCCTCCCCCCCTCCCCTCCTCCAGAGAGTGCGGCGTGGTGCCCCCCTCTCGCCACTCCCATCTCTCGCACTCGCACACCCCATCGACCCGCCCATTGCAGTGGTGGCGCGAATCTCACTCACTGCTCGACTGCTCATTACACACACCTCAGCTCATCTCCTTTTTGACTTCACCACTCTAATTGTAGGTCGGCCTTCCGGATGAGAAGAGTGAGGATTGCTACATTCAATGCTACTCTGACAAAAGAAGCTGAGTCGCGCCGACGCAAAAATATGCCTGGCCATGTGCCGCGAGGAGCTGCGCAAAGAGTACGAAAATCGAAACAGGGACATTACGAGCTGAATTTAAGGCACTGCACGACGACGTATCGGGATTTGGCACGGCTACAAGTGAATGACGACCGCGGTACGTTCTGACGAGGTCTTAACTGTCACTCGACACTCCCACCCTCACTGGGGTGGGGCGGGTATGAGGGAGGCCCCCGAATTGAATTTTATAACTTCAACTGAACTAAAGAGGATGATGCACAAGGACTAAAGGCACGGCACGACAACTACTCACAGGTCTCCAGATTGCTGTAACGGTAGCGTTTGTCGGACAGCGTCAGCCGTCACCTCACGCCCCGCCGCCCCTCCGCGCGCCCGCGCACCCCCTACCCCCAGGTGCCTCCAGAAGCCGTAACACGTCACCTCACGCTGCCCCTCCGCGCGCGCGCCGCCCCCGTCTCATGCAGCGGACACAGACAGGTCCGCCGTCGGTCGTTGTGGATTCGTTCGGGCCGAGAACCAGCCCAGAGCCCTACGCAATCTGGGGCGTGGGGGGGCCACCCCCTACCCCCCTACCCCTGCGGCGGCAGAGCCGCCGGCCTCCCACTTTACCAAATCCGCGGAGCGGGGCGAACACGTACAACCCAGGCCGCGCCCCCTGCCCCCCCCCCCCCCCCCCAAAACAAACAGCGGAAGCCAAAAGTCGTTCATGGCGACGCGCTGGAGCGGCGACGGCGTCCGGCTGTGCGGCACTCCGGGCTGCACGCTGGCCGACTTTCACGCCGGGCCCTGCTCCAACGCGGCCTCGCTCGGACGCCGCCGCGAGCACAACATCAAGCTGCCGTACAATGAAAAGGCGGCGCAGCAGCTGCTGCGGGGCGAGGCGGCGGCCATCAAGGCATCGAAGCGGGAGCAACGCGAGCGCAAGAAGCAGCAGCGGCCCGTCGCCGCTGAGCGGCCAGTCTCGCCGCCGCCGCCGCAGCAGCGCTTGCCGAGCGGCCTCGCACGCTTCTACCACCCGCTCGAGTGGGGCGTGCCGCTGCGCGAGGGGCCGGTGGAGGCGGACCCCGTGCCGCCGTCGTGGCGGCACGAGGCGGACGCGTGGCAGCTCGAGCAGGCGGCTGACCGCATCCGCAGCCGCCGCGGCGTCGGCGAGGCGGAGGCTGCCTTTATGGATCTGTGGAACGGGGCGGTGCAGCGGTCGGAGCGCAGCCGGCTGGTGAGCGACCGGTGCCTGCCCGCCCTCTGCCGCGCCTTCGCGGTCCAGCACGCCGCCGAGCTCCGCGGCCTCGCCGCCCCCTTTCGCTCCCACCTCGAGGTCCTCAGGCAGCACAACCTGCTGCACCCGGAGGATGTGCGTGACTGCCTCGTGCTCTCCTCGCCCGACGCCGCCGCCGCCTCTCCGTGCGCCCGCTGCTCGCGCCCGCGGCACGAGCGGCACTGCCCCCTCCACGGAGTCCGGCGCGGGGCTGCTTGCTGGCCGACGGCAAACGGGGCCGGCGGGACGTCGACGGTGAGCGCTGCGGACGTGCTCACCATCGTGGGCAAGGAGTGTGAGGTGTGCGGCAGTCCGCGCGACGCCGAGAGGATGCTTCTCTGCGACGGCTGCAACAAGGGCTTCCACCTCGGCTGCCTCTCGCCGCCGCTCGCCGCCATCCCGGAGAGCGATTGGTATTGCGCAGCCTGCTCGCCCCCCGCCGCGGCGGCTGCGCCCAGCGAGGCCGACGGGCGAGGCAAGAAGCGGAGGGTCGGGTGACTGACCCACCCTCTGACGGCGTCACGGCGCGCTCTCACTTGACGTACGTATGGATGGCCACATCGCATTTGTGTGCGTCCCGGCAGATATCTCACTCTCCCTCGAGCACTCTCCCCTTTACGTCTGTAGACTGTACTGAGCCTTTAGAGAGAGCCACGTGTACGTGTAAGCAATCGCCTCTTGTGTAACGACAGAGTCACAAGAGAAGTCAGATCTCAGAAGAGACCGCGGGGCGTGCGTACGTCCTGGACCTCCTGGTGTGGTCCACGCCCGAAAAATAGAGCAGAGCCGGAGAGCGAGCGCGGCCGCCCTCCGCGAGGACCTCCGCACCCCGTCGGGTGGCCCGCTCCCGGCGCGGCCGGGGGCAAGTCGTCTCTCACGCGCCCATGCTCTGTGGCTCGGATACGCGCGGTTGACGTGGGACGCGTCCCAAAATCTTAGACGAGGGTCCAACGCAAGATGGAAACGGCGGCCTCGAGCGCCGCGATCCCTGCCGGAGTCGACCCCGTGTTCGCGGCGCTGCACCGCTTCAACCGGGGACAGTACGACGCGTGCATCTCCCTCTGCACTGCGCTGCTGGGCGAGAATCCGTACGATCAGGCCGTGTGGTGCCTCAAGTGCCGCGCAATGACCATGCAGGCGTTCATCGACGACCTCGACTTTGAGGAGGAGGCGACGGCGGACGCCCTGCTCGACGAGAACGCCACAGCCGCACTACCGCGGCCGGGCACTTCTCTGACGCGTCCCATGACCCAGTCCAATGCGCCTGGCCAGCCAGGCCTCGGCATGCGGCCCGTCTCGGCGAGCGGACGGCCGCTGTCTGGGTTCGCGAGGCCGGGGACGGGGTCGGCTCGTCCAGACTCGCGAGTGGGGTTGTCAGGCGCGCCGGCTGGGATCCGCCCCGGCACGTCGCGACCGATGACTGCGCTCGGTCGCTTGGTGCGTCTCGGGACGGCCTCACTGGTGGCGGCAGCGGGTGGGCCGTTCATCAACGTGGACCGGCTTGACCTGAGAAAGTACGCGCAGCGACCGGCACTGTCGCGCGCGCTGTTCGAGTACCTGCTGTATTTCGAACACAGCCCCAAGAAGGCGCTCGAGCTCGCGGCGCATTGCACCGCCGCCGCGGGATACGAGGACTGGTGGTGGAAGGAGCGGCTCGGCAAGTGCTACTACCAGCTCGGCCTCTACCGGGAGGCAGAGCGGCAGTACGCGGCGTCCGTCAAGACGCAGCCAATGGTGGCGTCGTACCTGCAGCTGGCAAACGTGAGCCTGCGCCTTGACCAGCCAAAGGCCGCGCTTCTCATCTACAAGCAGGGCGCCGAGAGGTACCCGCACGACACGGCACTGCTGCTCGGCGTGGCGCGCGTGCACGAGGCGCTGGGTGAGCTGCCGCTCGCGGTGGAGAGCTACAAGCGGGTGGCAGGCATGGATCCGTCCAACGTCGAGGCCATTGCGTGCATTGCGGCTAATCACTTCTACTCTGGCCAGCCCGAGCTGGCGCTGCGTTTCTACCGCCGGCTATTGCAGATGGGGATCCGCAACACTGAGCTGTGGTGCAACCTCGGCCTGTGCTGCTTCCACTCGTCGCAGTACGACATGGCACTCTCGTGCCTCGAGCGCGCGCTCTTCCTCGCATCGGACGACGCCATGGCCGACGTGTGGTACAACATTGGTCAGGTGGCGATCGGGATCGGCGACCTCGGCCTCGCGTACCAAGCGCTCAAGGTTGCGATCTCGGTCCGCCCTGCCCGCCCCGCCCGATCGGCCTCGCCTGCCAGGGGCCTGCTACCCCCTCCCCCACCCACCCACCCCACTAGAGGGCAGTCGCGTCGAGCTGCCGCTGTGAACCGCAGGCCGACTCGAACCACGCCGAGGCCTACACGAATCTCGGGGTGCTCGAGCTGCGAAAGGGCAACGTCGAGGCGGCCAGGGCAAACTTTCGGACCGCGCAGACGCACGCGCCGCAGATGTACGAGCCCTTTTACAACGGCGCGCTTCTTGCCTACAACCTCGGCGAGTTCCAGGAGGCCTTCGAGCTTGCTCAAAAGGCGCGGGATGCCTTCCCCGACCACACCGATACGCTGGAGCTGCTCGGGCAGCTCAACCAGCAGTTGCGGCTTTGAAACGCGTGAACCGTGACAAGTTGTGCTCAAGCTCAAGCTTAGCAGGGCTTTGAAGGTAGCAACACGGTGCACAGTGTTGAGCGACGGCGTGCGACACCGTGTGTGTGTGGACAGACCTCTCTCTCCTCGTCTCTCTCCGGGACTGTACGTGCTCCGTCTTTACTACTTTTATCTTTTTCCACTGCACACGAAGAGCCGGCTCGTACGGCTTTATGATTGTGAACTGTCGAGCGAGACTATGGAGAGCGTGCCGAGGCAGGCTCTGGGCGAGGAGCCGAGCCTCGAGCTCCGACGAAAGAAAGAGATGCCGATTCTCCCTGTGGCACATGACGACACCCCTCGACGACTAGTTGCAAATACGGGTGGTGTGAACATGATGAGCACTTGATGAATTTTGATGTTTTTTTGTCCGTGTTGCTCCCAGCGCCCTCGCCCGCGCTCCCTGAGGCCATGGCTGGTGATACTAGTACGGGGGGCTACCTGGCTACCGCGAGAGCGACCCAACTCGTCGACATCGTCCGATGATGGTGCCTCAAAGTCAGCCTTCGGAGGCTATCGTCGCGTCGAGCCGGCGGTGGCCGTGACATGTGGTTCCACCACCCCTCGCAGGCTTTGCCTCTGACCGCCACCGTTCCCAGGCTGCCTAGTGGGATGGAAAGGAAGGCTGGGCGAGCATATAGAAGCGTGCTCGACCTCGTCGTGGCAGCCTGCACGGCAGCGCTGGCAGGCGCGATGAGCGTCGTGCCACCTGACCGGAGACGGGTCGCAGGCGTCGTAAGAAGCGCGTCGAGACCGTGTCCTGATGCGCTCTGCACGGGTGAGTCACGTCGGCGTCAAAGGAGCAACGTGCGACCTGTCAGAGCTTGGTCTCCGATCTCAGCGGCGCCGAGTCGCCTTCGGTGGCGACAGCTAGGATGCATCTCCTCCGTCGTTTTTCGCGCGATGGCCCTGGGAAGCTGGCGGCGCACGCAGGCGGACCTTGTGTGTGCGCGGAACGCTTAAAAAGTGGGTGCTCTACGTCACTTTTTTTGAGTAGACTAGCAGGTTGGCTCGCTAGTCGCTCGCCGGCCCGCGCAGCACGCGCGGGCCTTTTTTGTGGTCGGATGTTGGTCGTCTCGAATTTGATTGTGGGCAGGGCGTGAGAAAGCTGGACGGCTCGGTCGATGCGAGCCACCAGCTCGTGAGCGACGGGCGCGACGGGTTCCTCGGCGTAGGCTTGGGCGTGGTGAGCAGCGCCGGCGAGAGAGGGACGGCATGCGGCTCCCAAACGAGCCGCACGGGCTTCATCTGGGCCGCCGAGGCCACCTCCTTGGTCGCGGTGGCGGGCGTGAAGGCGAGGTGGGCCAAGGCAAGCGCTGAACGTGCCGTGCCGCCTTGCGCCCCTGAGGAGGGACGAGTGTGTGGGGTGCCACGGGCGGGGGGGAGCGGTGAGAGGAGAGCGGTGGGCACCCCCACGAGGGGCTGCGCTGACGCCGCCTGCCACCCCACGCACGCCACTGACGCTGTGGGGGCGGCACGATCGAACGCGCTGGTCGGGCGGGCCGTCTGAGTCGCCCAAGCGGTGCTCTGCCGGCCGGTGGACGCGAGGGTGGCCCAAGAGGGCTCAAAGTACGGAGCCGATACCCGGCCGTCCCGGACGCCTGGCACGCGGGCCAATGGTCCAGCCGTCCTGTGCATGGCTGGAGCGAAGGAGGGAGAGCTCAGGAGGGCGACGGGGCAGGGAAGGGGGCGATGCGATGCGGCGAGGTCTAATCGGCGGCGTGGATAGAGGAGGTGCCAAAAGGCGACTATAGAGAGGCCTCTACGGGTGATATAGTGCGCCATGCCGGCGGGAGAGGTCTCTCACCGCCCCCCGGGCCGTCTCGAAGGGCCGTGCAGCCCACGCCACGAGGCGCTGCTGGCGGGAGCCTGGAAGGACTTGGCCTCGTTGCACCGCGCCGCGTTGATTCGCGACCACCGTCGGCCGCGGACGGCGTCGGCGTGGCGGCCGCGGGCGCTCGCGAGACGCGCCGCTCTGCGCTGGTTCGGTTCGTTCGACTCGTTGTGCCGCCGCACGCCCGGCGGCCGCGGGTCCCAGAAGTGGTTGCGCGGGCCTCTTCCTTTCGGCCGCGGGACGGCGTCGGGCACGTCGTCGGTCGCAACAGCGGCGCGGCGAGCCGCGGCACGTCGTTGCTGGCGCTGGTGGTTTGAGGTCGGCATCGTCCAGAGCTCGGTCGACGAGTCTAGAGCTTCAGCTGGTCGGGTGCCATGTTTGTGCGGAAAGTGGCAAATATAAGTGGTGCAGAGATTGGGTATTTCCACAATCAAATCGTCCGTGAAGAGTGCTTGATTCACGGACAGCGAGGCTGCCCGCATGTCAATCGTTGCCCGCAAGCGGAGCTCCCCACCGGCGGGTTTGAAGACACTGAGCCGAGCGCGCCGGCGGCGGACGCCGGCGCGCTCGCTTCGGCGGATGGCTGAGCGGCACAGTTTCTGGCCGCCCGGCCTGCGAGCAGTTGCCGCGAGACGATCGAAGGCGCTGAGTTCAAGCGCGCCGCCATGCCAGATCTCGCCCCACGCCCCGACCAGACCGGGCAGTGCGTGCAGGAATGATACAGGCATGATGGATGGGTGTGGTGAGCACGCCAGCGGCACCGTTGCGCACTCTCAGGGTCGCAGCCGCCTATCTCGTGAGGGGCGTGGCTCGGGGCGGGTGCGAGAGAGTCGAGGAGCGCGGCGTGCGCGTGCGCGCGCGTGGTAAAGTCGGTTTACATTTCATCACTGGTATAAAAGAGAACCAAAACCGCACCCGCGCCGCGCGCACGCGCGCTCGCATCACCTCAACACTCACACAGCAAATCAAAGATGCGGGCAGGCGCCTCCGTTCGAGTTTCTTCGATCAAAAAAGGGACGGCAGCGAATCTCTGCACAGCTCATATCTCTTTGATCGTGCCGAGCTGGCCGTGACGGCATTTTTCGCAGTTTTTTGTGAGAACCGCACAGACTTTTGCAACTAGTCCGACACCCCTCGACACCGCCCGCGACACTGGCAAGCATGGTCTCAGCCTCGACAGGCCTCGACAGGCCTCGACAGGCCTCGACACCTCTATCCCTCGACAGCAACTCGACACCCTCGACACCGGGCCTCGACACCTCGTCCTCGACACCAGGGCTCAGCTGTGAACACATACAAAACTAGCAACACTTGTTCAGCTCCCAACGTTAGACAGGCTCTAAATCTCGCTTGATTTCACGAGCGTGATTTCTCCCTATCTTCCGAGGAGTTTTTGACTTTGTCTTTGAGTCGTTTTGGTCCTCTCGTTAAAATCTTGTATGCGTACCGTTAATCGCTCTGGCTGTGTCGCAATGGTTGGGACGGTGTGGGTCCGCGCCGCTTCACACGAGCATCGCCCGGCCTGCTCACGGGCGCGGCTCGCCCTCGCCTCCGCCTCCCGGCATCGGCAACTGAAGGAAGCGTACGCCCGCCTCGTCGGCGAGTGCGACGCAAGGGCCGAAGCCGAGCTCAGTCGGCGGGAGGAGCGCGAGCGAGTGAGGCGCACATGGCAGCAGCGCCTGGGCAACGGCGGGTGGCAAGGCGGTGGCTGAGGCGGTGGCCGCGGCCTCGGCGTCGACTGCGCCTGGCGACGGCGAGGCGTCGCCGGCCTTGCCGAGCTGCCGCAAGAGCTGCAAGCTCGCAGGTCCAACCTACACAGCGGTCCCCGGTTGGTGAGAGACGGCTTGGGTTGAGGCAAGGGGGCGGCGAGACGGGGGCGGAGGGGGAGCGGGCGGAGGGGAGAGAGGAGAGGGGAGGAGGGCACACGTCGTGCAGCCGCAACGTCTGCTTGGTGTCGAGGCCGAGGAGTAGTCGGCATGTCCCCGCGTCGGCAGCCCCGCCGCGCCTCTCCCCCTTGCCGCCCGGGTAGTAGTGCGGGCTGCTCCACGCCACTGCCGCGACCAGGGACGACCCAACATCGAGCCGAGCGAGCAAGTGCACAGGGCCGCCGCCGCCGCCGCCGCTGCCGCCACGGCGTAGCCCGATGAGCCACGCCCGGCCACCGCCGTCCAAGGCACCGACGAGAGAGCCGCCGCCCTCGGCGGGCGGCCCGACCTGGAAGAGGGTCGAGATGGCGTCCGGGGCCGGCCCCACAGCCTCGGCGGCTCGGCGCCGCCCGCGCCGCGGCTGGGGGGGAGTGGCGCGGCCCGAGGCGGGCCCCGAAGGCGGCTCGGAGGCGGCGCCCGAGGCGGTGCCCGAGGCCGCACGGGAGGCGGGACCGGGCGACCCCTCCGCATCCTCCACCGCGGCGCCCCTCTCTGCCGCTCTGTCAGGCCCAGGGAGGGGAAGGGTGCTCCACTCGACATCGGCGCCGTCCTCCAGGCTGCCGACTGCCACCGCGCGCTCGGAGCCGCCGCCGACCACGAGCGAACTCAACCGGCCCGCCGCGTCAGCTACGCCGAGCAGGGCAAACGGCAGCGCGGGCGCGCCGCTCACGGTGTACAGGTGGCAGAGCGACACGCCTCCCTCGCATGCCGCCGGTCGGACCTGCATCACCGCCACGCTTCCGGCCGCCGCGCAGAGCAGATGATCGCCGCGCGCCGCGGTGGTCCAGTGACCGCCGCCGCCGCTCAGCGCTGGCAGGCGGGCGACCTCGGTCGGCGGCCGAGTGCTCGGCCCCTCAAGCCACGCGCCGGTGGCAAACAAGGCGACGACCGGTTCAGCGCTCTGCCACAGCAGGAGCGCGCAGTAGTCAACCTCCAGCTCTGCCGTCCGCAAGAAGGCTGCGCCTTCGGCGCCCGGCCGGTGCCAGCGGTGAGAACCGTTCAGAGCGTGCAGCTCCACGGAGCCACCCTCAAACTCGGAGGCAAGTACAGAGCCCGCGCGGTCGACCGTGACCCGCCGCACGGCGCCTCGCAGCGCGACGGGAGCGCTGAGCATATTCAACTAGCAGGCTGGCTCGCTCGCCGGGGTCGCGCCTCGTTGATAAATAAATAACGCAGGGGGAAGCTCCCCGGCCCTGGATGTGCGGTTACCGACTGCACTCCAAGTGCTCCAAGTGCACGGGCCCAGCGGAGCTGGGAAGAGGACCGCCGCAAGCGGCGTGGCGTGGGTCGGTTGTGCATCCCTCCGGGGGCCCCTCTGCGCCGGGGAGGCGTTGTTGGAGGCTAGGACGCAAGCGTCCGTCGCCCTTTCGAGGGAGGGTGTAGAGGATGTAGAGTGTAGAGCGCTGTAGAGCTGTAGAGGTGTAGAGCGCTGGAGAGCGCTGTAGAGCGCTGTAGAGCTGTAGAGCTACATCCGCCGCGTGACGAACTGCGTGCGTTGTAGAGCGATGTAGAGGCGCTCTACAACGTGAAATCTCTACAATCTACTCAGAGCGGTGGTTGAGGCCGATTGCCTCAACTGTCAACCAGCGGGTTGACAGAGGTCTCAACCATCAACCAAGTGGTTGACAGACCCCTTCAACCTTCAACCACGCGGAATGGCTGCTCACACACACACCGCGCAAAGACTTCTGAACAGTGAACATTCTCTGTGAATTCATGTCGTCTTCTTTAGATGCTGCATTTGACGCGCCTTTTTCACGAGTACTTGCTTCAGCTACACGTACACGTGCGTGGATGGGAGAGGTGTGATGCCAAGCCCAGACGAGGAGCGCTGACAAGTCATCTCGAATGCCCCGCCACCGGGGGGGTCCCGGCCGACGTCATGGTCGTCCGGACGCGGCCCTCTGTACACGGAAACAGCTTACCGCAGACATTACCGAACTCAAAACTGCTTACCAAAGGCAGATACGAGCTCAGCTCAGTGAGATCTAGCAGCACATACCCTCAGTATCCAGAATAGTTAAGTCTGAAAAAGTCGGTCCGACCGCGCAGAGCGGTCTGGCTGTCTGCAGAGGCCAGAGCTTCCGTCCGGGCCTTGAGCTCTAGTCGCTCGCTTTTGCGTTTGGTAATAAAGCACTTCGACTTTGCGTTTCTTTTTTAGGTATTCCTTTAAAGTTTTGACCCCCCGCTAAACGCGCGAGGCGGTGGCGGCGGTGGTGCGGGGGATTGACAGGGGAGGCGGCGGCGGCCCGGCGGGTTCGGCTTAGGCCTCCTCTGTTATTGCAACAGCCCCGTCGGAGGTAGACCGCTCGTCTAGCCAATCAGCCTTAAGCGAGCGGTCTGGCCGTTGGAATGGCCGAGTTTGGTGTGGACTTGCGTCCTCGCATCGATCGTGGTTGTAGGGATATCGTTATGAACAACAATCACCACATGGGGAGGCGGCTGTCCCTGAAGGCGAACCTCAGTTACGAGCCACCCCCCCTACTTGACTCCTCTTTGGTCCCTGGCTTTCTGTCTCTTGCGCGCCTGCCGTCCAAGCTGTGCCCCCCGCATCTCGCCTCCTCGCACCCACCCCGGTGGGAAGGCGCCTTCGTGCCTTTCGTCCCCTGCAGTGCGTGCGCGCTCCTCCCCGTACGTCACCGGCCCCCCGTCCTCTGAGTGCTGTTGGCTCGCTCCCTCTCCCTGATTCATCGAGTCGCTACGTTCATTCTCAAATCGCCCCCGCTTCCTCGGCGGCTGTGATGCCTCGCCCTGTCGCCCTCTGCTTGTTCTTCATCTACGTCCATAACTGTAAAGTCGTCATCTGTTTGGCTGGCGTCGTTCGGAGGGCCCTCCTCGGATGGCCGCTCGCTTGGTCCTGGCTCTGTTGTGCGGTCGGGCATCTCTTCGGCCTCGCTCCTCCCTCCATCTTCGTCGCCGTCGGTGCTGTCTTCGGGGTGTCTGTATCCGTCCCCGCCGCCGCCTCCTTGTAGGAGTTCGAAGCGAAGTCGGTCTAGAAATCGTTCTGTCGCGATTCGGTTCCATTTGGCTCGTCTGGGTGTGCGTCGGCTGCCCTGGCTGCTCTGGCTCCCCTCGCTCTCGCCCCCCTGACTCTGCTGGCTGTACTGACTCTGGCTCCCCCCGCCCTCCGCCTCTTCCTCCGTTGCTACGTCGGGGAGCGCGAAGAACTCATCGTCGATAAAGGCCATCTCGTCGTCCGCCGGGGCGTTCTCGTCTCTCTCGTCGTCTCCCTCGTCTTCGTACGTCTCACTCACTGGCGGTTCGCTCTCCATCGGGTTCGTCGTCCCGCCTTCGGGCGTTGGGCCGTGGACTGCCTTGTCGTGCTCTGCCGTGTTCCACGGCTCGACCCCGGCTCCCTGCGCCTCGCGCACCGCGTCGAGGGTCCGCTGTGACACTTGCCTCTCGCGCCCGTGCCGAAACCGCAGTAGGCTGAGATGCCCGATCTGGTATGCCTTTGTGCCTTTGAGGGCTCGCGGGCCTCTCGGCACCCCCTTGTCTGCCCTCGGCTTGCGTGGCTTTGGGGCGTCTCCTCGTCGCTGCCCCTCTCTACGCCGCTCGTCTCGTACGCCGATGAGCTCTCGCGCCCCGTCCGTGGCACAGCCTCCCCTCTCGACACGAGGGCGAGCATCCGAGCCGCACCACCTTGGCGTTGCCGCGGCCGTTCAGCGCGGCCCGCATCGCCACGACGGCGTCGTTCCCTGTCCTGGCTTCGCCATATGTGTGTACATACACACATATGCACCAGGCTGGATTCGGGACAAGGGGTGGGTATGGTAGCTGTTTACCGTGTGAGGGCAGCACAGCCACAATGGTCGCCTTCCTCAACACGAAGCAGGCGTTCGACGACGCTCTCGCTGGCGCAGGCCTGGTCGCGATCGACTTTACTGCCTCGTGGTGCGGGCCGTGCAAGATGATCGGGCCGCGCTTTGAAGCCATGAGCACCTCGGGCGAATTCCCGTTCGTGAGCTTTTACAAGGCGGCCTCGCCCGCGCGTCTCGTGCACCGTCTCGTGCACCGCCACGTGAGTCAGCTCTGTCTGCCAGGTTGACGTCGACGAGAACCAAGAGGCGGCGGCGGCGTGCGGCATCCGGTCGATGCCAACCTTCCAGCTCTTCCGAGGCGGCGTCAAGGTGGACGAGTTCTCGGGCGCGGATGAGAATCGTCTGCGTGCCCTCCTCCGGCAGCACGGCGCGCCGCCCACCTCCATTCCTCAGCGCACCAAGGTCCGCGTGTTTGGGCTCAAGGCGCGGCCCGAGGTGAATGGCCGCGAGGGCGTTGTCGGCTCGTTCGACGCCGCAAAGGGTCGCTACGCAGTCGCTCTCAAAGAGAGCGCCGACGCCGCGGCTGAGACGCTCGCCCTCAAGCGAGACAACCTCGTGCAGCAGCTGCCCGTCGAGATCCGGATGCCCCAGGGCGGAGAGGCGCCCGAGGGACTGGCGGCCGCCGACCGCGCTGTCCTCCGCTCCTTCGACGCGGAGGCGCTGAGCTATTCGTGCACGCTGCAGCCGGACGGGCGCGCCGCGGAGGCTGTGCCGCTCGGCAGCGTGTTGCTGCCCACGGGGACGACGGGGGCGGTGATCGGTCTGCAGGGAGCCGCCGAGCACAACGGGAAGAGCGGAGTGGTGACAGACTACGACGAGGCGAGCGACCGCTACCTCGTGACCATCGACGCCTCGCTGCAGCTGCGGCTCAAGCGCGCCAACCTTCGGGCGTGAGGTTATGGTGAGTAAATATAAGTGGTCACACCCTCACATGAGATGCCAGATGGGTAAAAACTATGTGTATGTAGAAAGAGAGTGGACACCCCTCGACACTGGCAAGCATGGTCTCAGCCTCGAGCTCGACAGGTCTCGACAGGCCTCCAAGAATTTCGTCAAGCTCAAGGAGGGGGGGGGGGGGGGGACGAAAAAGAGAGGGTGCGCGGTGCGTCCTTATCTAAAATCCGAGATTAAGGATTCAGGCATCGCTTCAGTGAAGCCAAAGAGAGAATAGAGCACTTGGAGCACTTGGAGTGCAGTCATTACATGTAACCTCACATCCAGGGCCGGGTGGGAGCTACAACGTGTAAAGAAGCGCACCCAGCGAGCCAGATGATCGGCATCGGGCTACGGGCTAGAGAGCCCTGACCCTAGCTAGGGGGGGTGCGCGTTCGCAGGGAAAGGGCCGTAAAGTAAACACGGGTCTCCGAAGGTTGGTTCCGTGTACCGGGTTTCCCTGACGATTATTTTATGTGAGAACGGCACGGGACACGAGGAGGCACGCGGACCGACTCGTCGGTGACTCTGCTGCACGCCGTTTCAGAATTTTTCTCAGCGTGAGCGAGACGTGGAAGAGTGCCACCGTCGGGTAGGATACGCACTCGGCGGCACGAGGGCAAGGCTGGGCGTCCTATTTGTGCTCCCCTCCGTATCCCTCGCTCTCGGGCACTATTCATCTGACCACTCATCAGAGGGGCTTCTAGGCGATCGGCCGAGCTCCGGGGCAGGGCTGGGTAGGATGGGCTCGGGCCACTCGCCCGTGCGGGTGTATCCCCGCATGAGCCGGATGGAGGCCTCGACTGTCCCTCGCGGCAGGCTCTCGAGCAGCTCGAGCAGCTCTCCCGCCGCCACCGCCGCGTCGTACTGCTCCTTCAGGCCGAGCGCGCCGCAGACCCTGCGGACCGCCTCCTGCTGCACCTCGTCCGGTAGATCCGTGTCATAGCCGGAGGAGTCGGCGGAGGACGCCCGCTTGGCGGGCGGCGAGTCCGGTGAGGGAGAGCGCGACTGGCGCGAGGGCCCGCCGCCGCGCGCCGACAGCGCGTTCTTGTCGACGAGCCGGGGTCCAGCATTGGCGCGGCCGCTGGCACTGCGGCCCTTGCCGCGCTGCTGCTGCCCGCGCTTCCTTCCCGGATTAGGGACAGTGAAAGTGCAGCCGCGCACTCCGCCGCCGCTGGGCGGCGGCGGCACGCGCGCGGCGGCGGCCGGGCCCGCAGGCGCGGCGGGCTGGCCTCCCGCGGTGGCACCCTGCGGGTGCAATGCGGCTGCGGCGGCGTACGTCATGCTGGTCGCCGGCTCCGCAGCTGGCGGCTCGGCGGCAGGGGCTGGCGGCGCCGCAGGGCTCGCGCTCGCGGGCGGCTCCGTGGCCTGCGCCTGCCGCTCATGGCGGACCGCGCGCTCGAGCTGTGAGTGCGGGTGGAGCTGCACAATGACGTCGCCGCTCTGCGTCGCGGTGAAGGATAACAGAATTAGGCGGGTACGCCGTAGTTGGTAACCTCCCGCTTAGAAGAAGCGAGTAGTAGCACACCGGTCGTAGGAGGTCAAAGAGTATACTCTCCGAGCAGCGCTCGGCGGCGCCGACGCGAGCAAAATGCCGTTTGAAAGCCATGCGTTCAAACGATGTCATAAAACAAAGCCATACATGGATTTTTTTTTGCATCACATCCACGCGCGCGACGCGCGCGCGCGCGGCGCGCGCAGGAGTGAGCGACCAGCTCCAATGTCGCAGCAACGCGAGTGCCTTTCCGCTACTGGTGCGAGCAATCCATCGCGGCCTCTCTCGGTCGTGTGCCTGCACGGCTTCGGCATGAGTGCTTCGACGATGGCTCATCAGATGCGAAGAGCCCGCGAAGCTCTCAGCGGCGACGTTCGCTTCACGTTCCTCGACGGCCCGCTCACCGTCGAGGCACGTCCGCTTGCGGGTGTTGTGCCTTCGCCGCCAGAGTCGCCCAGAGCGTGGTGGACTGTCGCTCGCGGTAGCGGCGGGGCGCGAGTCCTCCAGGGCGTGGCCGACTCGCTGCGCGTCATCTGCGCCGCCGACGCTGCCGAGCGCGCGGCGCACGGCTCTGGCTTCGCGGGCATCGTCGGCTTCAGCCAGGGCGCCGCTCTGGCTCACCTGGCCTGCTCGCTCCGGCGCGACGAGGGCCCGCTTCCCGACCTGCGGCACGTCGCCCTGGTCTCGGGCTACCCCTTCGGCGGCTACCTGCACGAGGACGGCGTCGTGAGAGCAGCCCCGACGGCCACCTCCGACCACTCCTTATCCTTCCCCCCCTCCTCCGCCTCCGCCGAGCCGTCAGGCGCCCGCCTTGGCGGGCTCGCCTCCCTACACGTCTCCGGCTCATGCGACCGGCTTGTCGACCCCGCCGCAAGCGAGGAACTCGCCGCTGCGTTCGGTGCCGCCGCACGCGAGTCGGTGCTCCATCGCGGCGGCCATTGCCTCGGCCCCGCCCTCGAGTTGCTCGTCGCGTGGCACCGCAGGCTGCTCTCGCCTCTCTGTCCCTCTCTGCCGCCCTCCCCGCCTCAGCCGCCTTCCCAGCCACCTCCTTCCCAGTCGCCGCCTCGGCCGCCTCCGCAGCCACCTCCTCCCCAGCCGCCGCCGCCCCAGCCTCCGGCCTGGGTGCACAGCTTCAACGCCGGTGTCGAGGAGGAGGCGGCGGGACGCACGCTCTCCAAGAGCTGGCTCGCCCTCCGCGCCGACCTCGCCGCCCTGCCGTGGCTGCTCGCCCGCCCCACAGACATCGTCGTTGCGCCAGAGCAGCGGCCCGCTTTCCTCAGCTCGCTCGCGGCCGCCGGCGTGCGCGACCTGCCCACCTTCGCGCCCGCACCACCCGCCGGCCGCGCGATCGCCGGCCAGCGGCCGTACGCCGTCGCCGGTCCGCACTTGCGCCGCTCCAACGTGGCGCGCTACCGAGCTGACGTGTCGGTATGCCGGTCTGTGGAGGAGGTGCGGGCGGCGGCCGTGGCGTGCGGCGGTCGCGCTGTCCTCAAGCGCGAGTGGTCGTGCTCCGGCATGGGGGTGCGCGTGTGCGATGCCGCGTCTCTGGCCCCTGGCGGTGCGGGCGAGCGATGGGCGCGCGCCGCCCTCCGCCGCGATGGAGTGGTGACCGTCGAGCCGGTCCTCGACCTCCTCGCCGAGTGCGCTGCCTCCGCGCTCCGCGCCGCGCCGTGTCGAGGCCGCCTCTTCGCACGGCTCCGCCTCTTCTGCCGCTCGTAGGTACAGCGCCGAGTGGATTGATGGGGAGCTCTGCGGCGTGTCGCGCTTCGAGGCGCCGCACATGCGCTGGTCGGCGACGCTGCTCGACCAGGAGCCGCGCCCGGCTGCGCCGCTTGAGGAGGAGCTCTTCGAGTTTGTGTTCCGCCGGCGCGCCGTCGAGGCAGCGCTCGATCCGCTAGACGTGCCCGCGACGTGCGGCTCGCGCACGTGCGGCGTGGATTGCGCGATCGTGCGCGCTCCCGGCGGCGCGCTGGCTGTGCGGCTGCTCGAGGTCAACGCGCGCACGACCATGTCGCACTACGCGCTCGCTGCTCGGCGGCGCGTACCGGGGGCTATTCGCTTCGCCGTCGTCCCGCTCTCGGAGGCGATTGCTCGGCCCGGCCTCGTACTGCTGACGGACGCGGCGAGCGCCACCCGTTTCTGCGCCGTGTTGGAGGTCGGCAGCGGCGGCGTGCCAAGGGCCGTGGCCGCGGCCGGTGGTTTGGCCGCGGTGGCAAACGAGGCGTGCGGCGCGCTCACCCGGCTCCTGCGGCCGAGCTGTGGCCGCGAGCCTCCTTGCCCCGGCGACGCCTCGGCTCTCCTCGCCACGGTGTGGCTGCCGACCATCGACGCGGCCAGTGGCGGCGACGAGGCCTCCGGGCCGGTGCGGGCGGTCAGGGGCCACTCGCTGCGCCTCCTCCGCGCCGAGGCGGCGCGCCTGGAGAGCAGCCACGCGGCCGCCGTCGCCTTTGGTCGCTCTGGCGTGCGCGTCTCCGTCCACGCGATCGCCGCCGCGCGGCTGGGCCCGGAGGCAAGTTTCTGTGACGCGGCCGGCCTCGAGGCGCTCCGCATGGGGGCCGACGCCGCCGCGGCACTAGCCGATTTGGTGGCCGGCGCCGGCGCCAACAAGGCTGCCGCCCTCTCCCTCAGTGGCGTGGAGGCGCTCCTCGCCGCCGTGGAGCAGCATGAGGCGTTCGTGGTCGGCCGGCGACGCGCACGCGCCGGCGAGGGGGCAGAGAGGGCAGTGGAGGAGCTGTGCGTCCAGGCTCGCGTGTCTTAGTCTCGGGGGGGAGAGGGTGGCACACGCGCCACCCTGGTGTCCGCGTGTCCTAGGCGAGCCGCGCCCTCGGAAACCTCTGCTACGGCTGGGACGTTGACGACGTCAAGGCTGCCGTCGGTCCTCACGGCGCAGCGGTTGTGGTGGCCGCTATGCGCGCGCGGCTCGCAGCGAGCGATTGCCGGTGCGACCGTGCCGCGAAGTTTTACCGGTGGGGGGCACACGCGCTCCGGAATCTCGTTGTGCGGTCCGTGCCGATGCAGGATGCGATTGGGGCAGCTGGCGGCGCCTCGGTCTTGCTGCAGGGCCTCGCCGTGCATTGCGCGTCGGCGAGGGCGCACGAGGCTGGGTGCAAGGCCGTCGCTTTTCTACTCAAGCACCACCCGCGGAATCTGGCGGCATGCATCGCCGAGCGGGCTCTCGAGCGAGCTGTAGCGGTGCTGCAGGCGCACGCGACGGATGTGGCGGCGGTGGAGGCTTCGCTCACGCTGCTGTGCTACGCCGCTGATTGCTCGTCCAAGGCTGACGAGGCGCCTGGTGAGGCATCGGCCACCGCCATCGCTGCCGTGTCTTGCGGTGCGCACGTCGCTGCGCTCGCTGCGGTGGAGCGCACCTTTGCTGAGGCGGCGCCGGTGGCAGACGCCGGCCGCCGCCGCGTCGACGGCGGTGGAGACGGCGAGGCTTTGCTTGGGCAGCCCGCGAGCCCGGGTGCCCTCGCTCGCTCCTGTCTCTGGCTATTTGCAACGTTTCTCGGAGCGCTCCTCGCCTCCGGGGAGGCGGCGTCCGCCGCGGTTGGGCTGGAGGCGCGGGTGAGGGCGCTTTTCTCCTCGCCCGCCGCAAGGGACGCCCAGGCGGCGCGGCGCAAGGTGCGAGAAGCAGTCTCCGCCTGCCTCTCGCGTCTAGACCGCGCAAGCCCCTGTCGATACACGGCCGATGAGGTTGCCCCGCAGGGGCACGGCCAGGGCTGCGGGAAGGAGAGGGTTGCATCGGGTGCGCCACGCGCTGTGGCGGGTGCAAGCGCAGCGGCTGTTGCGAGGAGCGGGGAGTCGTCCACCCCCAGCGCCGACGATGCCCCGCCCAGCCAAGCGACCAGCAAGGATTCGCCGGACGAGGATTCGGACGTCAACATCTCGGACGGCGATCTCGACGCTTGCGTCTCGGTCCTCGAACGGCTCTCAAAGGACCCGTCGCGGCTCTTGGCAGGGCCGCGGTTCCGGCGGCTGCGCAAGGCCTTTGGCCCGGTGCATGCGGCGATGAGTGAGCGCGACGCCGCCGCTCTGGAGAACGGGCGACGTCGTGCATTGCGCAAGGAGGACGAGAGCCGGAGGGCGCGCCAGGCCGACGCGGACCGGCGGCATTTGGACACCACGGGGCTGCGCCGTGGCCGCATCGAGCGGCTACGGGGGCTCTGTGAGGAGCCGGGACGGCTGCTCGCTCTTGGCGTGAGCGGCGATGGTGATGACGGCGGCATCGGTTGCCGTCGCTTGCTGTGCCAGGTTCCGGACGGCGCGGTGCGCGAGGAGGGCCGGTCTCTGGTGAGTGGAGTTGAGGCAGCAGCCGGCAGCGACGCCGACGGCGCAGTCGCGACGAACGGGCCGGAGTTGTTCAAGCCGCGGCAGTGCTACAGCTGCAAGGCGCGCTTCGGGGCGCTGCACCATTTCTACGCGCAGCTCTGCCCCAAGTGCGCCTCGCTCAACTATCGGATGCGCCACTGCACCGCCGACCTGAGTGGCCGTTATGCGCTCCTCACGGGCAGCCGCGTCAAGGTGGGCTTCGAGATCGCGCTCAAGCTGCTACGAGCCGGCGCCACGGTGGTGGCGACCACTCGCTTTCCCGCCGACGCCGCGAAGCGCTACGCCGCCGAGGCGGACTTCGAGGCGTGGCGCGAGCGACTGCACGTCCACGCGCTCGACCTGAGGGACGTCGTGGCGCTGGAGAGCTTTTGTGACTATCTGCGCGCGACGCTCCCGCGGCTCGACGTTGTCGTCAACAACGCGTGCCAGACGATCCGGCGGCCGGCGAGCTACTACGCGCATCTGCTCGCGTTTGAGGCCGAGGTCGAGGCGGGCCAGGCTGGCGCGCCCCTCGCACCACTCCTTGCGCAGCAGGCGAGCCGGCGAGAGGGGAGGCGCCAGGCGAGGGGCAGCGCCATACGCTGGACGGACGAGGGGCGGGACGACCACGATCCACCGACCCCGACACCCGCGCAGCTGTCGCAGCTGCACCTCACGACTGAAGACGCCGCGACGGCGGTGTCGCCTCTCGGCAGCGGCGAGCAAGGAGGGGCGGTGCTGCCCGCCGGACAGCTGGACGTGAATGGGCAGCAGATTGACTTGCGCGCCACCAACTCCTGGCGGCTCAAGCTCCCCGACGTGTCGACGCCGGAGCTCTGCGAGGTGCTCGCCATCAACACGCTCGCGCCCTTCATCATCAACGCGCGGCTGCAGCCACTGCTCGCTGCGGCGGCCGACGCGGCGGGCGCCGCCTTCATCGTCAACGTGTCTGCGATGGAGGGCAAGTTTTATCGTCACAAGACGGCCAACCACCCGCACACGAACATGGCCAAGGCGGCGCTCAACATGATGACGCGAACCTCGGCAGCGGAGCTGGCCGCCAGTCACCGCATCTACATGACGGCGGTCGATACCGGCTGGATCAACGACGAGAACCCTCGCGAGCGCGCAGCGAGGACCGCCGAGACGAGTCACTTCCAGACGCCGCTGGACGAGGTGGACGCGGCAGCGCGCGTCCTGCATCCGGTCTTTGAGGGCGTCAGCACGGGCGAGACGCCTCTCCATGGCGTCTTTCTCAAAGACTTTGTCGAGACGGAGTGGTGAGTGCGTCGGGATCAGCCCCTCTGCGTGTCTTGACACACTTGGCTCTTGTGTCTCTCTACGTTATCGGTCGCGAGGCCTCGCGGGAATATGGCCAGAAAACACGCGTGTCGAGGAAAACTTGTCGCGCACAGTGCACAGAATTTTTGGCGCCCGGGGCGGGGCTGGACTGGTATGTGGTAAGCCCTTTAAGCGCGTAAGCGCGGCTAAAAGGAAAAAGCCGTCAGTGCAACAGTTTGGCCCGGGCCCCGGCGCTGCTTGCAGCGCTCTGGCGGTGGTGTGGTGGCGGCGCTCCAAGAGTGGCCTTGGGAAGAGGTTCCCCCCCCCCCCCCCCGCGCGCGCAAGGGCCAAGGCGCGAGACACACTCTACGTATCTAGTACCCTCGCACGACCCAACCGGGCGTACCCTCTCGATCACCCGCGCCACCTCCTTGTCACTCGGCTGCGCACCCACGCTCCACTGGCCTCGCTCGTGCCTGCACGCATTGTACCAGCGCCGCAGGGTGCGCGCGGAGTCGCAGAGCTGCCACTGCCCGGCGCTGCGCGGCGCAAGCGCGTTGATCTTCTCCTCCTGTGGTGGCGTGGCGTGCACGTGACCTCTGGCCGCCCCGTTTGGGCGGTGCCGTTGGGAATATTTCAAAGGGGAAAAAGCCTGCAAAATCGATGGCGTCAATCAGCTCTCGGCGTCGCACCATCTGGCTCGCACTGATCGCGCTCTGCTCGGTCCTGCCTTCGATGTGCGCTTCAGTGAGCGAATGCGCGCTCATCTCGACCCCCTCTTCGACGCATCGGAGGTGCACGCACGTGATGGCAATCGACAATCACGGCCCCGGTCCCGTCACTCAGGTTGCTCGTGTTCACACCGTCAGAACTCAGCTCCGCTAAGGATTCAGGATCTGAGACTTGGGCATCTTCCACAACTTTTATAGTAGAGCACAATGGCACCCTTGCATCTAGTGCATCACTTCGTTACCGGACCGTACCGGAGACCCCCGTTTTCGGCCGCCGCGGCCGGAGAGCACCCCCGTCAGGGGCCCGTCCGTCGACTACCCAGGGCCGTCGAGCGCCGCCGTGTACCGGTTGCTCTTCGGATGTACTCCGCCCGCAGTGGCGAGCAGGCATAGGGAAATTGCTGTCCAATGCATCGCGCACCCACACCGCCCGTCGAGGAAAAGCATTTTCATGTACGCGGCTCTTACGAACCCGAGTGATGAACTGCTGACAGGGTTTGCGATGAGGCGCGATCCGAACGTGGCATTCGGGTGATCAGATCACTACCGCCGAAGCGCAAGCGCTTGGAGCAAGGGAACTGCGACGTATCGTCCCAGACTAGCACCCCACCTCGCGGGCCGGTCTTCTGGCCCAGCGAGGCTGCTGCGATTTTCGTGTTATTGAATGAAATCCCTGTGCGGTGGCGGCGTGCCCATACATCGCTTGTTGATGACTGATGAGTGCATTGGACGCGCGAGAGGAATACGCGAGGGTATGAATGAGAGCCTCACGCTCGGGAGATTATTTTCTTTGTGACCGCGCAAGATATAAAGGGTGGCTAAGGGCTCTGCCCGCAAGGCGCCCGCGTCGCAGACGCGGTACCATTGACAAATCTGCAATATACCCCCACACGAACAAATAGCAAAATCCGAATACCGTGCAGAAACCATGTGATCTGGGCCGTGCAAGCCTTCAACTGGTGCCAAGACATTCGTGAAATTGAAGCCAAGAACGTCCGCCAAATCCGTGCTTTCGGAGCAACTGGGAGGGAAAGCCGCTGATCGAGCCCAGCGTGCCCGCGGCCGCCTCCCGCGCAGCACCGCCGCTGGGGACGACACGCTGCGGAATCGGACCGAGCCCATGCACCGGGCAAAGAAGGACACTGCAGAAGTCGGTTGGAGAGGCAGCCGGCGTCTGCCGTCACAACGAGTCCCAGCGCTGGTTGGACATGCGCGTCGGCTCGCCCGAGGACTGCTGTCGCGACCCTCCCGTCGTGCCGCAGCCTCCGACGAGCTCTGCAACCGAGGAGAGTGAGGGTGCGCCTCCCCTCACTGCTGGCCTGGCTGCGCACCGCCCCACAAAGCACCCCCTCGAGCAAGTACAAGTACAAGGGGGCGACCTTCTCCAAGTCGTCAACACGCCCGGCGGCTCCGACAAGACTTTAGCCTTGGCCACCCTCCTTGCGGAGCAGGAGGAGATCCGCTCTCGGTCGGCAACGTGGCAGCTAGTCGAGGGACTCGGTAGTTGTGACCCCCCTGAGTGAGTGAGGACAGGAGAGAGAGAGCTTTTGTGGTGTTGGTGTACGCAATAACGGGACAGGGTAGTCGTTCTCTCTAGCTCCCCTTCTAGCTCTTAGCATGAGCTGCGCCCTGTGTCCGACCGACCCCTTTTGCGCAGCAACACCTTAAACTTTTAGGCCCTCCAAATTCGGGTCGGAGCGTACGTGCGGAGTGGGCCCCGAGTTTGAAAAGGGCGACGGACGCTTGCGTCCTAGCCTCCAACAACGCCTCCCCGGCGCAGAGGGGCCCCCGGAGGGATGCACAACTGACCCACTCCACGCCGCTTGCGGCGGTCCTCTTCCCAGCTCCGCTGAGGGCCCGTGCGTTATTTTGCCCACCGCTATAATATACTCGTTTATTCACGAGGCGATCCCAGGGAACCGTAGGTTTCCTAGTGGCGTGCTGTGAACAAACAGCGAAGAAGACGCCTGTATTTTGCCTGTCCGGAACGTCCAAGTTGCCCGCCTACAAGGACGCGGATCAAGCAAAGGCTACTCGAGCACATGCCTTCCGCCGGCTGCGAGTCCCACCGCCATTCTGACGTGCATTCAAGGTCGGCCGCTTCCGAAGGAGTGGCACAGACCAGCGCCATCTCGCAGTTCATTGACTCTCCCCGCCATTCTGACGTGCATTCAAGGTCCTCCGCCGCGTCCGACTTGAAGTCGGGAGTGGCACAGACTATCGCCATCTCGCAGTTCATCGCTGCCAGTGCCGCGCTGCGCCCTCCCCGCTCGGTACGGCGAGGATTGCGGGTGAGCGATGCCTTGGTTCGATGGCGGTCTGCCTTTCACACTAATCCAGACCGCCTGACTGAAGAGGAGAGGGCGAAACTGCACGCGAAATCAGCGACGGTGGAGCACATCGACGCGTTTATCAGTCACAGTTGGGCGAGCAGCGGCCGAAGCAAGTGGCTTGCTCTCTCGCTCGAGGAGACTGGCGCCGTCCCAATGGCTGCGGCAATGGTGATCACGCTCGCAATGACGTACATCCAGCAGACGTGCGGTCTGCCGGGTGACATCTGGGCGACGTGGGCGCCGGATCGCGTAGATGGCGACGAACCGAGCTCTCGCGTTGCCTTCTCGCCCCTGGTCTTTCTGTCCGGGCTGGTATGGACATTCATCGGGCAGCTCCTCGAGCGGCACTTCCAGCGCCTCTGCGGCGCGATGGGCGCCTGCGAGCGCATCCACCGCACGCCCATCCCCACCGCCTTCACGCGGCACTGTTCGCGCTTCCTGATGGTCTGGTGCGCGCCACGCACGCCCATGTCCGAGCTCGACTCGTTCCAGGGGATGCAGCCGATCTCACGATTGCATCAGGTGCAACGCGATGCCGTTTGTGCTCTGGCCAATCGTCGGCACTGCGACGCCGCTGGCGGCGACGTTCGTGGCATGGGCCATGTGAGCCGCGCCCGGGTCGGCCCTGCCTTACCGTGCATGAGGCCGCACCTCTGTCGCGCAGGCTTGGCACCGAGGACATTGGCGTGCAGGTGGAGGAGCCGTTTGACGTGCTGCCGCTCTTCCAGTACTGCCAGGGCATCGCCGCGACGTGCGACGGGATGGTGAAGGGTGCGCATGCCTCTTGCGCTGTTTGCAGGCTTTCCCTGCGCTTACGAGCGCGCACCGCCCCCTTGCTCTCGCAGATGCGCACAACGACCACATCACTCTCTCCAAGGATCTCGAGGTCGAGCGCACCGGCCCGCAGATCCTCGTCGAGGACATGGGGGCGCTGGAGGCGAGCTTCAACATGCGGAATGCGGCGCAGAAGCTTTGATGTGCCCGCCCTGCCTTGCACTGTGGTCGATGCCCGCCACTCGCCTCGGGTGGCGCACGACCTGCGCTTGAGAGCTGTCTCTTCGTCTCTTGGGCGAACACCGGACTGAGCCGGACTGCGCAAGCCGCCACAGCAACGGTCAGCGCCAGCACATGCCAGCACTGCAACTGGCAACTGCTGCTCTACCTCGGCCTTCCACGAGTCCGCCGCCGCCGGGGTGGGCGCGGCCGCTTTCGACGACGTGCCGCGCGACTTGAAGATGTAAATGGCGATGCCGCCCGCCACGAGGCTCGCGCCCGCCTTGATTGCCGAGGAGTCTATCATGTGAAGAGAGTCGGCACCGACGGGCGCCGGCAGTACCCCCCCCCCAAAAGAATTTAAACAAAACAACTCTCTCTCACAGCAGACAGGCGTCTGGGGGGGCGACCCCCCCATCTTTGTTTACCGAATGCGTCTCTGGATTAGAGTGCGTCTAGTAGGCCTCCTACTTAGACGCTCGCTGTCCTCGGTATGCTCGAGCATCCTAAGATGCGCGAGTCTATATTAGTTGCTCCGCGCATCCCGAATTGCTCGCGGCATCTCCGATTGGCGTTGCTGTCTCAAAAGACGCGCCGTGCATACTGTGAACAGCGCGTGTCTCAGAAGACGCGCGCATATTTTGAACAGCGTGTGGATCTCAAGAAATACACGCACGTATAAAAACAAAACGAAGAAAACGAAAACTCGGTGTGGCGAGCGCTGCGCGGCGGGCCGTGCCCCCGGCTGTGCGCCGCGGCTGCTGCGCTACTACTCGCACAGCCGCGGCGCGCCCACCCGAGCACTCGTGGGTGGGCGCCCTATAGCCTCTCCGCGCAACGTGCTGGGGCACGGACAGCGGCTCTCACGTGTGGCAGCGGCAGCAGGCCCACCGCTGCACCGACTCACACTGAACAGCACGCACAGGACACAGTCACAGAACACTGCCCCTGACGCCACTCACGGCCACGGGCTACTCAGACTTGGACACAGGCACCTCGCTTAGCACTCCGTGCACGTGGCTGCCGGTTGCCGTCACCAGCGCCGCTTCCTGCCCAGATCAAACACCTGCGACGTGGCGGAGGCGATGAGCGGCCCGCGGTCGCCGTGAGAGCGCGCGTGGTGGGCGACGGCTCACCGATCGAGCGGAAGCGGTCACGCTGTGGGGGCGGCGGAAGCGGTCACGCTGTGGGGGCGGCGGCGAGGCGGGCAAGCCACCCGCAGATCCCCAGAAGGACGCCGTCGCGAGGTCGAGGGCGGGCGGCGGGGGCGGCGAGAGCGAGGCGCGAGGCGCGAGGCGGTGTTGGCGGCGGCGGTGGCGCGGGCGGCGGCGGTCACGGAGCGGGGGCGAGAGGGTGGTGGCGAGCAAGACACCCGTGCGCGCTGCGCGGTCGCCGTTCTGACTCACATGCCTGCGGACAGCGCCGACGGGTGGTGAGGAGGGCGGCGAGCCGGCGGGCACGGTGTGCGCGCGGTCGCCGCGCGCTGGTGGGCGACAGCTCACCGAGCGAGGAGCGAGGAGCGAGTCGGGATGCCCGGTCCCTCAAATCGCCAAGTCAAACAAGAAAAACCGCGCGATGGCCGACTCTCGGAAGTACGCTGTCTTCCGTGTCTAGGCGCACGCCCACGCCCTCAGCCTCGAACTGGCCCCGCTACCTGCCGCGCAAACTGGTTGGTGGGGGGGGGAGGCGGCGTCGCCGTCGGATCGTCGTAAGCAGTGCATGCAACTTTGGTCTTTGCGCCCAGAGCTCGTGGCGCGAGCAGATGCATGCGCGGTGCTGAGAACCTGGTTCTCCAGGAGGGGCAGGCCGCGAGGAGAGACCTCACACGAGCACTCAAGGCAGGGCCCCCAGGGGGTGCCGAGAGATCACACCGCCTTTTCGTGCTCCCTGGCTCCCTGCTCCCCCCTCGGTGCCCGGTGCACCCGACACACGGTGTCTCCTGAGACGCTTCCCTGTCCAAGTATAGTAAAATGTGATCTAGTATGCAAGTGCCATCTCAGAACAGCTGTGCATCTATAGATGCTTGTGGCGTCTAAGATGGAACGCGTAACAAAAGACACGGCGCGGCTATCTCCAGGACAGCCATCGCATCCTAGAATGCCCTGTGTACCCGAGACACATGGTATCTTTGAGATGAAAAGTGCGTCCTAGAATGCGTTTTTGCATTCTAGGACGCATCGGTAAACAAAGATGGGGGGGTCGCCCCCCCAGACGAGGCTCGATTTACAAGAAAACGCGCAGCAAATGCGACATTTTATGGATCTGGAGTGACACTTTTACGAAACTTCCCTCGCACAACGTGAAAAGAAGAAAGTCTTGGCCCTCGTACCGCGTTGGTGTCCACAGCCTGGCTGTTCTTCACCTTTCTACCTAACCTATCTAGTCTCTGTCGTGCACTTGCTAGTACGTGAGAGTTGTGAGTGAGGCTGGGTGAGAGTCGGCCACGATCACGTCACGCAGCACGCCTGTATGTAGTGTGTTGTGTATGTTCGCTCTAGAATGTTCATGGAGGACTTTTTGGATACCGAGCGACCCGCTACCGCGCGCCTCTCACGACTCTCCGGGATCGACATGGCGACGCTGCCCGCGCTCGCACGCACCTGGTGCCACCAGCCGCGTGGGATGAACAGTCCTCCTCCCCCATCCCTCCGCCGCCGGCGCGGCCGCCGAGCGGTAGACGTGGACGCCCGCCGACGACTCCCTCCGCCGCGGCCGCGCCGCGAGGCGGCCGGCGGCGGCGCGGCCGCCTCGTGCGGGTTGTGGTCGGACAGCGCCTTGAGCGCGCGCGAGCCGCGCCGGCGCGGCGTCGGCGCCGGCGTTCGCGTCGGCGCGATCGGCGACTGCGCGACGCTCGCGACGACGGGGGCGGCGGCGGGAAGGGCGTCTCTGGGTGCTGCGCAGTCGCGCCGTATGCCGCCGCCTCCCTGCCGCCCCCGCCCGCCGCCCGCGCCTCCGCTGCGCTCCTGCCTCTAAGCTTCCGAGACACCTCCCTCCCTAAGGGCGAGACGAGGCACTCGCGGTCAGCACACCGCACGAGGGGGGAGGAGGGAGGGAGGCCGAGGGGGGGAGGCGCGTGTTTGCGCGTAAAATTCTCTTTTTTCTGGCGCGCGCCAGCCGCCACTAACACAGCTCACAGGCACGAGGAGCACAAAGGTACACCACGGGAGCCGCCCCTATTGAGAACAGTCAGTGTGCACCGTACTAGCCCAACAGCGGGGCGACCGCCCTCTCCAGGTAGGTTTGCTGCCCATTGGCTGTCGCGAAGCCGTCCCACTCGTAGAATGGAACGCTGATCACCCTCCAGCCAGCCGCCCTGAGGAGGCGCCGCTTGAGCAGCGTTGGCCCATTGGGTTTGCGCACGCCCCGGCCGTCGGGCAGCAGGAAGTGAGAGGGGCCGTCCACCTCGACAGCGACGCGTGAAGAGGGCAGCGCCAGGTCGAGCGAGTAGCCGGTGCGCGGCTCGAGGTGCTCCTCCTCGAAGCCGTGCTGGACGGCGGCGAGGGCAGCCGCGACGGAGCGCTGTAAGCGCGAGATCGTAACTTCGGTGCCTTGCATGGCGTCGCAGCAGAGCTTGCGCTGGGACTCGGAGAGGAGGTGCTGCTGCCCGTCTGCTCCTCGCTCCAGGGAGAGCCAGAGCTGCCACTGGTGCAGCTGAGAGCGGGCTTCCTCGCTCCACCTCGACGGATCCCGCGCGAGCGAGTCGCTGATCACGCGCGAGCAGTCGGCAAGCAGCGCCTGGTGATAATAGTCGGCCGTCGCATACGCCCACACCGTGTTGGCCAGGGCCTGCGGCTTGAAGCCAGCCAGCCCGCCGCGCACCGCCACCTCCGCCACCGCCGCGTACAGCGCGTCCGCAGCCACGCCCGCCGTCGCATACGCCCACACCGTGTTGGCCAGCTCCTGCGGCTTGAAGCCAGCCAGCCCGCCGCGCACCGCCGCCTCCGCCACCGCCGCGTACAGCGCGTCCGCAGCCACGCCCGCCGTCGCATACGCCCACACCGTGTTGGACAGGTTCTGAGGGTTGAAGCCAGCCAGCCCGCCGCGCACCGCCACCTCCGCCACCGCCGCGTACAGCGCGTCCGCAGCCACGCCCGCCGTCGCATACGCCCACACCGTGTTGGCCAGCTCCTGCGGCTTGAAGCCAGCCAGCCCGCCGCGCACCGCCGCCTCCGCCACCGCCGCGTACAGCGCGTCCGCAGCCACGCCCGCCGTCGCATACGCCCACACCGTGTTGGCCAGCTCCTGCGGCTTGAAGCCAGCCAGCCCGCCGCGCACCGCCGCCTCCGCTACCGCCGCGTACAGCGCGTCCGCAGCCACGCCCGCCGTCGCATACGCCCACACCGTGTTGGCCAGGTTCTGAGGGTTGAAGCCAGCCAGCCCGCCGCGCACCGCCACCTCCGCCACCGCCGCGTACAGCGCGTCCGCAGCCACGCCCGCCGTCGCATACGCCCACACCGTGTTGGCCAGGTCCTGAGGCTTGAAGCCAGCCAGCCCGCTCCGCACCGCCTCCTCCGCCACCGCCGCGTACAGCGTGTCCGCAGCCACGCCCGCCGTCGCATACGCCCACACCGTGTTGGACAGGGCCTGAGGGTTGAAGCCAGCCAGCCCGCCGCGCACCACCTCCTCCGCCACCGCCGCGTACAGCGCGTCCGCAGCCACGCCCGCCGTCGCATACGCCCACACCGTGTTGGCCAGGTTCTGAGGGTTGAAGCCAGCCAGCCCGCCGCGCACCGCCGCCTCCGCCACCGCCGCGTACAGCGCGTCCGCAGCCACGCCCGCCGTCGCATACGCCCACACCGTGTTGGCCAGGTTCTGAGGGGTGAAGCCAGCCAGCCCGCCGCGCACCGCCGCCTCCGCCACCGCCGCGTACAGCGCGTCCGCAGCCACGCCCGCCGTCGCATACGCCCACACCGTGTTGGCCAGGGCCTGAGGGGTGAAGCCAGCCAGCCCGCTCCGCACCGCCGCCTCCGCCACCGCTACGAA